GTGGGATCCAGCTCCACTATGGTAGTCTGCATAAGTTCGTGCATCGTTGTAGATGTAGGCTAGAATATATGCTGGAATGGATGCTCGACAGCGAAGGTGTTGATGTGTATACCGTGTACATATCGGCTAAGAACTTCATATGTACACACGTGTGAAGTCAACCAACCCGCATTGGGCCGGCGATGTTGACTAATGCATAAAACATATAGTAGTCACCTCTAGCTTAGAACAAATATCGTGCATGGAGACGTTTAGTGAGCTGATGGCATTGATAAATATGATGCTTAACGCAATTTGGTTATTCGTGAAAAAAGGTATCTAACAGTAAATGCCTCTGAGCGTCGGTGGCTCAGGGGTTGATACTTGGCTTCGTAATCCACAGGTCTTAGGTTTGAATCTCGCCATGTACCAATGTGATTTTCTGTTATTTAAATTTTATATGTACGAGTACATAATTTACCCGACGTTCTTACGGTGAACGAAAACATCGTGATGAAACCTGCACATATCGGCGAAGAAATCCAAGATATGTGTAAAGCCAACCAACCTGCACTGGGCCAGCGTGGTTGACTAAGGCATAGTCACCATATCTTAGGGTAGGCACCGAACCTTTCAATGGGGACGTATAGTGAGCTTGGTTGTAAGCAATAAGTGGTTATTAATACACAAAAAAGAGCGTACATATTTACGGTACATTACTGTAAAACGTACGAGTATGATTTGGGCATTTAAAGTAACATTAGTATCGATTTATTTCAATGAAAAGATAAAAACCTGTAACCAAACCTTTGTTCATGAAGGAAGCAGAAAACGGTGCAACGTCAGATTCAAACGACAGTACTTTGCCTCTAAAGAATAATGCAGGACGAACATTCAGAGATGGCGTTCGTAAAATTGATCTGATCCTGGTTGTGAAAGATGAGGAAAACATCATAAGTGACATCATGAAAAATAATTTTCTCACCAACATTGTTAAAACTGGATTTGAAATTGAATTTGAAAATGGTGTAGTAAGTAACTGTTTTCTTATTAATCTTCCAAAGCTCTCATTCATTGGCGATGTCCTTTTACTCATACATATCTGCGATTGTTACTTATGTCTCTGCTTATTTTAGTTGCCAATACACAGGAATCTAGTATTTTTTAAAATACATTGCCCGAGTGATGTTCTCAATAATTTGGGAAAAGCTTTTGGAGTAAAATGCGTTCAGAGTGCTCGATTCGAACACATAATGTCACACAAAGAACGCGAGTGGTTAAATTTAATAAGGTACATATAGTAGTAGTAAACGTAGTAAATAGTTTTTATAACTTCTATATGAACCTGATACAATATATAGACCTAAGGCTACTTCCAACAACACAGAAATTGTATATGTATGAATGTCGAAATTTCTCGTAGAAAGGAGTACACACAACCATTACAATACTCGAGCTTGGAGAGAAGCCTCGTAGTTTATATGGCATTGCTGAACGTTCCATTTGGAGACAGACAAAACTACATAGGGCTGGAAAGGTAAAAGCCGCTTTATAAAATGTACCTATACAAATTAAACACAGGTCACGACAAATTTTTATCAATACAATGTTTATAGGCTAATGAAACGCAATATTGTGGTAGATGCATACGCGTTGCATGACGGACCGTACTACATTCCACAAGACGCTTCTAGAATTAATGCTCGTCAGGTAATGTCAAACTCGCTTACTTACGACCACCAAACCAAAAAAACACATTCACTTACTTGTGTTTTTCTTACAAACTGAATTATAATGGATAGTTGTGTCACTATCATTAATTTTTTATCTATATATAGTTTGTCTAAATAAGATAGATTAGTTTGATAAATGACGCATATGAAGTATCGAATTCAATTTGTGTGAAGGCAAATGCCATACTTAATAGAAAGCTATCGTAGTTACGAAACAAACACACATAGTGAACAATTTGGAATTATCGCTATTCGGTTTAAATAATTATCAAACTCAACTAGAATTATTATTTTCTTATTCACTAATTTAGAGGACAATTCTAGTATGGATTATAGTGTAGAGAATTTAGCGATGACAGAAACGTAAATACACACTACTTAGCTATGTAGGATGTGAGTAATTACAGTAACAATATTTTTTAATAATCATTTTTTTTAATAAAAACCCCTACAGTTATAACATGTTTTATGCTAAAGTTTTTCACTCTATTAAACTTAGGGAGTATTTATATAAATAATTTGGTAAGAACCGTCATATAGGAAAGGGACAAAAACTACAAGCTGACAACGTCAACGAAGCAAGGTTGCCATGGTAACGGTATTTGTTATCTAATGTCATAAGCCTTCGTTGTCATTTGTGGATTTGAATTTTGACATTTGCAATGGAAAATATCACAAATGTAAACAATAGAATAAATAAAAGTAAATAATAATAAAAGTTTTTGTAATTCCATGCGGATGTAGCCTCACCGGAACATCTACTAGTAATATAATCCATAAGGATTATGTTACTATATGTAATTACTGTATGTGTGTTTAAATAATTTAGATTAGTTTGAAAATACTTTTCAAATTTAGTAGGGATGGGTTGTGTAAAATCAGTCATGAATCTTATCGATTTTCGATTTTTATTCTTATAGAAGTTGGAATCGATAGATTTATAGTTATAGCTTATGAATTTTACAAAAAGTACTGTTTTCTCAAATTAATAATTACCATAACAAATAATGAGTGTAAATAGTTTTTTATTACTACTACAGCCGTACGTATTCTCGAATTAGATTTCGTTATTATTTCTGTCATCGCTAAATTCTCTACACTATAATCAATACTAGAATTGTCCTATTAATTAGTTAATAAGAAAATAATAATTTTAGTTGAGTTCGATAATTATTTAAACCGAATACCGATAGTTCAAAATTGTTCGCTATGCGTGTTTGTTTCGTCACTACGATACCTGTCTATTAAGTATGGCATTTGCTTTCATACAAATTTAATTCGATACTTCATACGCGTCATTTATCAAACTAATCTATCTTATTCAGACAAACTATACAATTATTGGCTTTGTTATTATTACCAACCCGCACTTGGCTAGCGTTGTGCACTATGGCTTAGTTACTTCTACCTTAGTGTAGACTCCTAGCCTCACAGTGAGGACGTATATAGCGAGATGATGATACTAAAGTAGGTAAATCAGACATACAGGGATATGTTTACATATGCAGCCCCAGGATCTAATCACATGGTGTAGGGCATGACATTACTAATACAATTAAAAGAGTTCATGAAATTTTGACAAAAGACTTGGTTTTTTATTAGTTTCTTTTCTTCTTTGCTTAATGAGCAAAAGTACCTTGCACTTATGGTTCATTGAAGAGTTTTTATTTTTTCAGATCCTGTTTTATAATTGGGCCGGTACGACAAATATGTTTACCAGACAGCCATTAACCCTGGTGCATGAATACTTTGGACTGAAGGTAAGTTGTAACACAAATAATTATCATATTAGAAAATGAGTTTTGAAGTAATGATGAATTCCTAATACCTACTTTCTCTTGCCTACCCTTTTTGGATAAGGTGAATTGAGGCCTACTCAAACCGCTCCTTGACCCCGCCTCACTACACCTACAATAAAGATTGTACTGTATTACTTATATATATGTAACTAATCCTTTTTTAGACGGTTAAACAACTGTTTTTTCTGTTGTAAGCTAGTTTTCAAGAAAGCATTTTTACCGCGAAAATGCAACAAGCATTAAGGACACTATAAAATCTACAAACATCGTTAACTCCGAGATACAATTCTTGGATCATTAAATGCTAGTAAAGTCTTTTATCTCATTGCGATTGTCTGTTATTTTTATTATTTGCTGTCGTCGATTTAATCGTGGAGCGATGTATTGTATTTATATTTCTAACCTTTGTTCAGGTTGCCCTGTACTTCGCTTATTACGGACTTTACAATATTTTTCTAGCAATTGTATCCATAGTGGCTCTTTTAACATTCTTCTTAGCTATATATTTTAATGACGCCTACATGGATTTGAGGTAAGTTTTTATTTATATTTATTTGTTAATAAATATATATGTATGTATGTATGTAAAGCACTGTTCTTCGAATTAAAAATAGATTTAACATAATGATCATTGGCTTCTACTGTGTTTATTTTGTACATTTAAAAACTTAGACAAAATGAGAAACTCTTCATTTTTTTAAGTTTGTTCAATAAGTTTGAGATAACAAGTAAAAATTGATAATTTTAGCATATTAATATCCTCGATTGCAGATGCTTAGCCTACCCTTGATCGAAGAAGGAGAAGACGCACATAAAGATGATATTTCTACTTCCTATGCGTCTGCTCTTCGTTAAATTCACTTTCTTTTAAGTTGAGTTGAAACGCGAAACTCGTTCAACTTCATGCCTGTTGTCTGTGAGGTCGTGTTATTGCACCGTTCGAGCCGGCCCTACAGTGCAAAGATGTTAAAGCACATTCTATCACTGTTTAATGTTTTTATAAATTACTAACTAGAAAAATGACCCATGTAACTCACTGACAACGTAGCTTATAATAGTGAAAGATTTTTTAAATCGTCTCAGCAGTTTTTGAGTTATTGTAATACATACAAAATACAAATCTTTCCTCTTTATAATAATAGTATAGATTTTTCCAATCTATGTGTATATCTAAAATGAAGGATTTCCATTTCTTTCAGGGCACCGATTTGTGAAAATATGCGTACTCTAGGGATTGTCGTTGTTTGCTTTGAACCTCCAACTTTCATATGTTATTTATACTATATATCTAGCTTTTGTAAATGGTATACAATGGATATTTTATTCAATAATAAGTATACACCGTACTTTGCAACATTCCTCCTTCTCTGGGGTGCGTGTGCCTATTCATAATTTTTAGATCTAAATAAAATTTTCATACTTTAAAAATTAAGTTACAACCAATCTCGCTTTTGCCTGCCAAGTTGCCCGCGTTGAATTTTATAAACATAGACTATGTGTTATTATAGGTCATGTTATGCACAAATGGCAAAGTTCAGCGAGATCCGTTAAGCCATTACGGAAATACGTAGAAACAAACATCCGTCCGGATGTTTGTTTATATGGATGGACGTCTGTTTAGTCTTTCGTAATTGTAATAATATTAAATTATTTTTTCATTTTCAGGTATGTTTTTCTCAGCTTACTGGTTTGGAAATGAAAAATATTTGAACTGGATATGGGAAGCGCATAATAAAGACTACAATAGTAAACAAATAAGGTACCAACCAATATATAAACATAAGTGTTATATAAAAATATTGATTTAAAAAAACAAAACCGACTTCTAAACAAAATACACGAAAGACAGAATATAAAAAAGCAATACACTAAAAAATAACGAAATAATTCTGTGAATTATTAAACCTTCCTTATTGTAGCTGTTAAGTCTATATTGTACTATTTGATGTCGTTGTCAGTAGAGGTATACAGTGATATTTATACGTAGCCTTTCTATATTTTTGACCGACTTCTCAAAAGAAAGAGGTACTCAATTCGTCTGTGTGTTTTTATGTGTGTTACGGCATAACTCCGCCGCTAGTTGACCGATTTTGATAAATCTTTTTTTTATCCTAAAGGTAGTGCTTGTAGGTGGGTTCCATTTTTTTTTTTGATCTTTGGAGTCAAAGACTACGACGTAGTTAAATAGTTTAGCTCAAAATCGCGCGACGAAATTTAGGGTCATTTTTAATTTCTTTGCTTACGTAGCCTAAACTATAAGACTTACATAAAAATGATGTATCGAAGAATTGTAGCCCTTTAAATTTTCTAACTAAAAGTCTACGATAGCATACATCTATCTATTAAGGTTGACGCACAATAACCACTTTTTTCATTAAAATATCGCTCGAAAAGATCATTCTTAAAGTAGTCTAAAAAGCAAAATTTACAATAACAATTTACAAAACTTAAATAACTTTAAAACTATAGAGAATTGGGTAACATACTTTGCGCTTAAACGATGGCTATTGAGGTCCTCTACCTCCACAAAACCGTTGATATGGATTAACAACAATCTATTGATTCTATAGTATTCTATACAGGGTGATTTTTAACGGCCATCTGTTATTAGTTGATATTATAGCTATATGCACGATTGCTTAGCTAATTAATTTATATTACATTTTCATTTTCAGACCAGACTTCGAGGTTTTAGAAAAAACACAAAAATCAAATAAAACGGGCATTGTTGTTGTCAAACATCGTGATTCTAAATTTATAATCTCATTATGTTATATTGGTATCGTAAGTATGTTATTTAGTTCAACATTTTTTACCACTATATCCAAAATGTCAAGTGTTTGGGACTGCTATAAGTACCTAAGAATTATAATAACACTTGCATTTATGTAAAATGTGAAAGAATTAAAAATAAACTATATTTCTTAAACTACAAATTATAATTATAAAGTATTTTGATTTATAACATCGCAATATGTTTTTGACCGACTTCCCAAAAGGTGAACGTCTTTTTTTTCTCGTTTGTATTATATTTTATTCAAGTGTATTTATTATGTTGCAATGTGTTTTTGAGCTGATTAAATGTTTATTATTATTATTAGTATTCCACATATATCTTTATTTCTTATTCTCTATATAATACATTTTACAAGATTTGTATAAAAATAAAAAATAAAACATTTTCATTATTATTATTACACTTTTTTTTGAAAATATTGTATTTTTAAAATTAAGGTACCTGAAGATTTTTCATTTTGTCTCAAACCTATACATAAAGCGCCGACTAAATTTCAAATTTCAAGTTTGTAGCACCATCACATGTAGCACCAGGAAGTGCATTAAAATTGTGATTGAACATGTAATTGCGTAAAAAACTGAAGTTTTCAACTTGCTATAATTTGTAATTTACTAGGTATAATATAATTAAAAGAAATTTTGGTAATATAATGTTTTCTGGTTATTCAAGCGATGTGTAAAATTTCTTTATCTTTATCTTTATTCACAACGAAGTTACAAGGGTGTCAAAAGTGCCCCGAAGCGATTTGACAAAATAGTGTTCGGCCGTGCTCGCCTTGGCGGGTGCACTGTCGCGCACCCAGACATATTATGCATTTTTGGAAAGCTAAGAAAATGTTCAATTTTTAAAAAAAATCTGCAGGCCAAGATCCATATCGATTTTTTTTGTTCTTAAGGCATTTAAGTGTATAGGAATCTCGAAAAATATTGGAGTAATTGATGGTTCTTTAACTCGCATTATTTAAATTGGACAGATCACTGATGTTTTCATAATTTAAGATTTTAAATGTTTTTTTTTACGAATTTGAAGAAAAGATCAAGTTAAATTATTTATAAGTGGAATTTTTGACTTTTTTTAAACTTCTGTATAGGGGTCAAAATTATCACAAATGATGCCCTCTATTACCTCGTAACAGGAATACGTCTAATTACCACTAACCTTGTATAAAAAAATCATTAAAGATATACAACATTCAGCAATAATGTTTTTTTTTTTCAACAGATTTTATTGGATGTATTAGTTTTTGCTGTCTTTACACATCGAAAAACGATGTTTAAATTGATACCAGACAAAATTGCTTTGGTAACCATTTATCTCACGATTGGTTTCGTCATAGCTCTCTACATCGTTGATCTCGTAAGTTTATATAATAATTATTATTTAATAAAAAAATATTTAAACCCGGTAGTGTGTGCTTAATAGTAGAATAAAATTGTCCTTTACAGTATTTAAATTGGACATTAGTCCAAGGATAATTCTGCTGACATTATTTATTTATCTTATAGATTACATTCAATGTAATAAATACATTATACTAGATTTCGCCCGCGACTCCGTACGTGGGTAATCTATATTTATACTTATACTTATCTACCTATCTATATCTATACTATTATAATAAAGCGTAAACACACGCTCCTTTGTTGCCTAAGATGTCAGCAATTACCACACAAAGGACGTGCGTAAGGTGAATGTAATTCTGCGTTTTCTTAAAAACAAATAACTAATGAATATTCCGGTGGCCGCTTGCTCGTTTGTCACCTTATAATATAAAAAAGTGTTCTTCCTATTAGACCAACTTTTAATTTTTTCTTCTTTCAAGTTCTTCTTTTGACTTCTTGATAACACACGACGTTTGCTCGTTTTTCTTTTGGTTTATACGTCCATTTCAGGTTTCTCCTTTTCATCTTTCCTTTCTTTATTTTATAATAAACAAATATTTGCAATAAAAGAATGTCGTGTCGTATGAAATATCCCAACATTTTATCCCTTAGGTTAAAACATCACTGACACATCAGTGTAACAAGTTTATAATTATCTTTTTATTTCACAGATTCATAGAAAGGTTGCCACTTATATTGTTCGATTGGAAAATCATAAAACATACGTATCGTATAGCCGGTCCCTTGCAAAACACATCTATGTAATGTGTTTCTCTCTGCCTATGATAATAATTGGATACTATGGATTTCAGACGGTAAACATGTTTTTGATTGATTTAAATATAATTTAGTAATTCCAGGGGCTTATGATCTCCTGTAAAATCATAGGAATCATTTGATGCATGATCTAATTAGATTCTTACTCACTTGTATGAATCGCGCTCAAGAACCACCTAGTTACAAAAATTATATAGGCTGTCCGGAAATACATCATCGTTATCACGTCCGCTGCAAGATTCTTGTAGATGTACATTGTGTGGATAGACGAATCACCTCAAAATAAGTTCATGTTTAGAAATAATACGTGAAAAATTGAATACAATGTCATCTAGGTATAATCTGCAGTAAAAAAATCAGCAAGTAAGTTGTATACTACTTTTAGCTGATGACGCCCAAGGTTAGGCAGAGGTCACGAAGTGGCCATACTGCGACCTGTTTAACTTAAAACATCCGGTAATATACGAGTATGTTACCGGACTTTGTGCTCTAGAACAAGGGACGCCCAATGCAATAGGTACTTTTAAATTTCATAGGCAGTTTTTGAATTTCTACTGTGGCGCGGTTACAAACAAAATTTGCAGCATCTATTGGACAATACGTGTGGGATGAGGTCGTGCAGCAACATTCTTACCATTTCATTTACAATTGTCCTGCTTCTAAGATTTGGCATATTAAGAAAATTATCACTTTACTCAAGGTATGTTAATAAATGTCAATATTTTTTTCATTTGATATGAGAATTACATCTAAAAATCAATAAAACTCATGCTGCATTACTTTTCAGTGTGACTGATTATAATCAACGTGAAATAGTAGAAAACGTTCCATGCTGGGAGAGAGAATTCGTTTTACCTCGATTTAATGAAAATGTTTTAGCAAGCAAAATGGCAACTCTTGGTAAATTAACAGTGTAACAATAATACCTTAGTAATATAATAATTACAATATACTTTTGTAGTTTCCAGTGTCAATTCTTATTGTCATTTGCTTCTCCTTACCACGATTTTCTCCTCCTAATAATAATAAAACGAAGTTATTTTTCTGCCAGCAAGTTCCATAGTCATTTTTTTTGTTTGTAAGGCATTGCAGAAATTTTAAATTTAGATGGTTATTTTGCTTTGATAATCAATAGTTTAATATATTTAGATAATCACTTTTTAATAGTTTTTATAAATGAGAAGGAACTATGAAGACGTAATTGATAATTTTGACGAAGCGTTTATAACTCGTTTTCAAAAAATAAAAAAAATCATGATAACTTCAAAACTAGTTACCTTCTGCATGAGGCATATGGATTGCAATTATCACAAATAATCACTGATAACTTTGTATATCGTATCATCGTTCACATGTAAACATTTTGATTGTATTTCAGTAACGCAGTTCACCTTGATAATCGCCTTTGGTTTTTCATGTCCACCCGCAATATTAATTGTATTGCTGTTCAACATCTACCACATCAGGTTGGTAATATTTCAATCTATTTACATATTACTTAAGTCACTGGCTTTAGAAGTAAGGTATATCCATTTGTCAGTATAAAGGCATGAAGTATGATGAACATCAGGATCTACTGCTACAAGGTCACTAACTGACTGTGGTAAAAGTCCGTAAAGTTATTTGATATTTGTTTGTTTCGAGAAGAATAACTAACAAACATAGTAAATGCCGATAAAAAACAAAAACATACAGAGTTGTAAATTTTATGTCTATTCGGGCACAACTCTACGTTTGTTCAGGACTCAGGATAATCTCTAAAATGAGGACAATACCTATTTAATTTAAAGTGCTCTGCAAATCTTATCTTTATTGATAACATAGTTAACATGTTTACTCAACTGAAACAATTATAAACAAATCTTCTGCATAAACATATTCAAAAATACAAACTAAACCTTGGTAAGAATAAACGCAGTCTCGGAAAGTGGCACCTCGGACCGGATGGACATCACTTTAAAACCCCAGCACTGGATAGTTATAAAATATTTAACAACGATCATGTATACCTACTACCACGGTGGCCGCTTAAACTTTTGTCACCTTATACTGTAAAAAAACTTGCTGCTCGATTTGCGAACTATACTACACATATATTATGTTAATTACTCGTCCATTTAATTTACTGTTTCAGGCGCGACGCAACATTATTTACACTTCACTATCAAAGACCATTGCTTTTGAGAAACAAAGCCTTTAACGTATGGACTGAAATTTTGAAACTAATGGTTTATTTAGCCATCATTGTAAACGTGAGTATTCTTCTGCCACTTATAGTTTTATTTTTGGTTTGGGTTGACGAAAAATCTATTTGTAACGGTAACATTTACAAGAACATTAAAATTGACTAAAGGTGAGTTACATTAACTATAAACCTTAACCAGTGCCTTCCCGGTGGTTACTACGACGGTGGTCTACGGATGCTCAAATGTTCGCTGCACCAGTTTTACGCTGGTCAAAACTACGTCTTTTTAACGCTAATCATAACCGCTTAACATTGTTTAGTTATATCTAGCGTTACCATTTGTGCCAATTCGGTAGTGTCAATTGTCACAAGTTCTTATCTTCAAATGTACAAGTAAGGTAAAGAAGTAATGGAAAAGAAAAATCATCCTATACGCAATCCAGAAGAGGAAAGCCTTTTGTCTTCGGATTGATGGACTTCCAAGATGGATTGAATGTTTGGACAAATTTTAAATATCTAAGGCCGTAGCTAATGCGAACGTTTGTCCCCCTTCCTTTATTTAAAAAAAATATTCTCCATAAAGGGACAATAGATAGCGGAAAATAAATAACACGCGTTTATATTTGTATTATTTTTATAGCTTCATTGTTAGTGGAACATACATACTTGAGCAGTATAAGTAACTAATTTACATTTATATTCTTCTTTTTCTTCTTCTTTTAATGAATAGTGGACCCCATCGTTATGTCCATGATTTCGCCAACGTCAAGGTTGAAGATAATTGAAAGTATAAACAACATGATTAAAATTTTGAATAGCAGTTAACTAGATAGACTGAATCCAGTGTGATTGTCAAATGACCGGTAGCTGATGATATCAATCGAGGCACTGAAATAGGACAACACAAATGATACTATACTACACACTAACTAGGAAATGTATATATTTTTGTTACAGTTTAATATTATTAGTAGTTAAAAATGTAAACAAAACCTTCAACAGAGGGCTGTAAACCGAGGTTAGCAAGAATGGAATGTTAATTAATGGGTCTGGGAGTTTGGGTAGGAGGAATATCATATACTAAAGTGAACTTTAAGTTTCGGACAATTAAAAAATATGTGTTCTAAGGATCCCTCATCCAAACCGCACTCACACAATGAATGGTCATAAACACGTATTTTGGCAAGTAATACTGGGGTGGAGACGAAGCCCAGACGTAGGCGAATTACTACAGAAGTTGTACCTTTATTGTTGTCTCCATGATCAAGATATCAGGGTTTGGAAGGAATATGAGGTTGAATAGATCCATAAAATTAACCCTTATAGTGTGTGTAAATAATTTAGATTAGTTTGACAATTCATTTCAAATTTAGTAGGGATGGATTGTGAAAAATCAGTCCTGAATCTTATCGATTTTCGATTTTTATTCTTATAGAAGTTTGAATCGATAGATTTATAGTTATAACTTATGAATTTAAAAAAAACACTGTTTTCTCAAATTAATAACGACCATAACAAATAATGAGAGTAAATAAATGTTTATTACTACTACAGCCGTACGTAATCGAATTGGATTTCGCTATTATTTCTGTCATCGCTAAATTCTTTACACCATAATCAATACTAGAATTGTCGTATAAATTAGTTAATAAGAAAATAATAATTTTAGTTGAGTTCGATAATTATTTAAACCGAATATCGATAGTACAAAATTGTACAAAATTGTACGCCACACGTGTTTGTTTGGTCACTACGATACCTGTCTATTACTCGTAAGTATGGCATTTGCCTTTATACAAATTGAATTCGATACTTCATATGCGTCATTTATCAAAGTAATCTATCTTATTTATACACACTATAGTTTGGCTAGATCTTTGTCAAGCGTTATTTATAATTAAATTAAAAATTATAACGATAAGTCACTCTTGACTCTTTAGCGACATTCAGATTATAATGTTGCCATTGTAAAAAACAAAAACATAGACCTTTGGGAGAATATGTTTTTGCAATTGTCACCCTATTAACTATAACGGTAACTGGTCATATGATGCAACTCTCCTAAGTCATACGAGATTCGCAAATCACTTATCACTCAGCGATAATTTCATGGTTATATTTCGAAAATCGCAGCGAATTCGTAGTAAGTGATTTTTATTTCCCAGAATTTCTTGTTATGAAAACAGTTAACAGTAAACATGTATGACAAGTTTTCAAGTTTATGCGAGTACTTACCAATCAGTAATATTCCATGGTATTAACAGTTTTGATTGCGGTATATATGATTCGAGTTCGAAATTTAAAAGATTACAATCTGTTTCATTGCGAGACATCTATGACCAAAGTAGAAAAGTAAGAAATGTGAATTATTAGAAAAAAAACTTTTTATATTAATTCTATAATCGTATATTAGAGCCAAGACCCTTTCGGTGTCTAAATGCGTCTTAAAATTATGATAGCTTACTAATGTCCTCTGGTAATAAAAGTGTTACAAGATCCTTTTCCTACTGTAGCTGTTATATTGTATTTTCTTTGCACATATGAGGTTTACTTTATTTTCCGACAGATCGAACCACAATAGCAGCGACTCCCTCACCGGGCCAGATATCTATATTTTGAGTTTTGGCTATAATACAATTTTCAGGTTGTATCACTAGTATGCTCCACAGACTTTATCGAAACATATTTACGTGTGCGCAGAATGCCGCCATTTCATTCGCTTGATGAATTTCTTAAGAGCTTTTATGTCCGCGTTCTACTAGTACCGGTAAGTTAATCTAATACTTTTATCTAGTTACAGTGGTTAAGATATCTAATAATACTCTAAACAAGAACAATCTGGTCGATGTTTGTATTCGGTGATAAACAAACTTTTTTATCTTTGTCACCGCGTGAAATGATGATATTTAATGATCGCATTACTTAAATCTAATACTCTTCCCTTTCTCGACTTGTAGGTATTAGAAAAGGGCTAAAAGGAGAGGGAAATGATTAGATTAGCTAAAATATGAACTTGGGTGACACATAAACATTGTTGAAACAAGATTCTTACTAGAGCAGCATGTTAATGTTTCTCAGGGGACCTCTACATTGAAGGGATAGTCAATGACAGTGCTAGCAAGTGCATAAAAAAACAATCTGTGTCTTAGCTAGTTCGCATCTATAGTGTGTCTAAATAAGATAGATTAGTTTGATAAATGACGCACATGAAGTATCGAATTCAAATTGTATGAAGTTAAATGCTGTACTTAATAGACAGGTATCGTAGTGATGAAACAAACACACATAGCGAATAAATATGAACTATCGATATTTGGTTTAAATAATTATCGAACTCGACTAAAATTATTATTTTCTTATCAACTAATTTAGAGGACAATTCTGGTATTGAGTATAGTATAGAGAAGAGCGATGACAATAGTAGTAGCGAAATCCAATTCGATTACGTACAGCTGCAGTAGTATTAAATATTTATTAACTCTCATTATTTGTAATGGATCTGCAGGTCATTATTAATTTGAGAAAACACTGTTTTTTTTAATTCATATGTTATAACTATGAATCTATCGATTCAAACTTCTATGAGAGTTGAATTCGAGAATCGAACAGTTTCACACCTGATTTAACACAGCCCATCCCTACTAAATTGTCAAACTAATCTATCTTATTTAAAGGAAATATAGTCCCACTTATAATTATTTTGTTAATAATGAAATACTTTTTGCGTATTAACCTTTTTTTCATCTTCCAGGGTGCACCACTTTCGTATACGCCTGGTAATTTTTTACTTTCTTATTAACATAACAAAAATTTATTAAATTGTCCTCTCCAATACTTCTCTTCGTGAAAACTCCTTGGGGATCCTGACACAAGAAAATGTGAAGTAGAAAAATAAGAAATGAACGCTAGTGATCCCAACGACACTCAATGTGTCCCATAATTACTAAATCTATGGCTTTATTAAACATTTTTTGACAACAACTGAAATTATGAATGATGTAAATTGTAAATATGAATGATATAAATTCATCGAACTATACAGATTACATAATTTATAGAACAATTACTAGCAATAATAGTAAACGCCGTTTCTTTGACTTCTCCATACAACTGTAACAGCTTTCATTACACCGTTCATAGACGTTGCAAAAGAGAGGGAGTGGGACAGCAACCTACCACCTCTCCCTCCCCCCTTAGAGAATCAAAAATGTAAAATAGATAAATACAGTTGCAAATATTTAAATTCAAATTACATCGAAAGACCTTGGCGTTGCCCGAGAATTTAAGTAATCATGACAACCTTGCTTTGTTGCTGCTACTGACTTGTAATTTTTTTTTGTCTTTTCTTGCAAAGCATGTTTTAATATACTCATCCTCTAAGTTTGATAGCGTGATAATCATTCATATGAATATTATAAATGCGAAAGTTATGATAGATGTTTGTTAGCGTTTGTAGCCTAAACGGCTGAACGGATCTCCATGACATTTTGCACAGGTTTAGAGTATAGTCTGAAAAAAAAACATATAGGCTACTTTTTATCCCGGGGATAGTTACGGTTCCCGTGGGATTCATTAATTTAGTTTTTAAATGTTTACTCGATCATTCTGCAACGATTTAACATTTCTTATTGAAATTTGGAACAAATATAAAACAAAGTCTGGAGTACATATGGGATAAGGTTCATCCCCGAGAAATGTCCGGTTCCCGAGGGATACGTAGCTTTTTGTTATTTTTATAGTTCGTATGTTTTCTAATACCACGCGGACGATGTCGCCGGCAACAGCTAGTATTATATATAGCAAAAATAAAAAAGAATCATTCAAAATTATGCTGTGATTGCTGACATCCTACGTCACGAAGTAGTGGCTGTTTACGCTTTATTATACGAGTATTAGTATAGATAATATATAGATGAGCATTGCCTCTGTAATAAATCAAAACACTAAGAGCTCCTCCCTATATCCAGCCTAGATAATCATCTGGCAACGCCGAAGTTTGATAAATCTCAGGTTTTATTGGTAAATCGCGTAGTTCGATCCTTTAGTTTGACATATGATATAGTACCCAAAGTGTCTGGACGCAGCCGCAATTGGGTTTATGCATTGCACGTAAACTTTAGTCTTTTGTGTATTTTTAGGATATCTTCATATAGCTTCAGCTTCTGCAACTTATACAACGCAGGATTTAACTGCCGACGAATTAAAAACTTGTCAATACATGTATATATTTACTTTTGAGGTTAGTGTATTTGATTATGTCGTATCAAATATTATAATATTATTAATATTAAGTAAATAACAGATAGTCATTTCTGCAAATGTACAAAATACGAGTACAGTCATGTCTTGTACTATTTTATAATCTGTACTAGTTGTGCAAATTTTGTAAATACCACAAAACACCGTATTACTTCATACCAATCGGTAACAAATATTGTATTTGCAATAAGTTTGAAACAAACAAATATTACTAGTGGTCCCCCATTAGATTCTTCGAAATTCGATCATTGAACTCTTAATTTAATTTTTTTATTTAATCGTTATAAGTAGGCACTTCTCCACTTTAACTGTATCAAATTCATCCGTTTTTGTAATTGCTTAAAAAAATGTAACAAAATTCGAGCATTACGTATACTTAAATATTCGAGATTTGTGAAAGCATTATTTTCGATCTTTAGTAAGATTCAATTCGTGTCGTCGACGTGTCGTGGGCGATATCCGCGTTCGAAATGTGTTTCAAAATGCACAAGAGACATTACATTACAATAATATATTAGCAGCATAATTTATAAAATCCAATTTTGTTTGTCTGCGTAACCAAAATAGTTGTTATTAAAAAAATGTTTTATTTAACAGATTGTCATGGCTGCAATATACCTTATAGTGCAATATATATTTTCAAACAACGCTGACGAAAAGGAAATACCTAAAAAACGAAATCAAGAAAATGATGATAACTAACTTAAGATATACCTTGAGTGCAGAAATATACCTTTCTTCTAAAAATTATTATTGTTAAAATTGTTATACAGTAAAGACGTAAACATTAATTGTTTCTCCTTTTTTATTTTTTGGTCGACTTCCCAAAAGAAGGAGGTACTCAATTCGTCGGCATGTTTTATATGAAATTATGTGCCTATTTGATATTCGCCATTTAGGAATTTCACTAAGACATGGGACAAAGTAATTCGTATCCAATGCGACAATCGCTGATATAATGATGAATGATAAACTCAGGAATACCTTCTTGAAATTCTCCGAGACTGTGCTGCGCAGCGCAGCGAAGGCCAACGGTACCATAGCTTAATAAATAAATATGTATATTTATAACAAGTTTTTTTTTTATATTATAAGGTGGCAAACAAGCAAGCGGCCACCTTAATCCGCCAAAATGGCGAAGCGACCACTACCCATAAATCAACGCGTGCATCTATCTTTTCCCAGCTATCTTTCAAAGTCCCGTCCAAATCGGTCCACACGTTCTACAGATAGCGGTCCAGTCGCCATTTTGACAGCGCGAAATTTAATAAAGAGTAGCCTATAATATGGCCGCCGATGTCCGCTACCCTTTAGTAAAAGTCCGGTCGAACGAAATCGGTCTAGACGGAGATTAACCAGAACAAACGCGGCTTGCGGACAGACAGACGGCTAAAACTTTTTTAATGCGATTTTCGTTATTAGCAACGCAAATACCGAAATTTAGAATGTTTATTTGGATATTACAAACAGACACTCCAATTTTATTATAGATATTATTTTTATTATATTTATAGATTTCAACGAGATCCTCTCAGCCGTTTGGGCTACGGAGTCTGACAAGCATCCGTCCATCTAAACTTACACCGTTATAATATTAGCTAAATTTGTATTTTCATATGTTAGTAAATTAATGTTAATGGTAATCTATCTATCTATATCTTCTATACATATCACATCGGCTCAAAATATATCTAATATATTTACTTTTGATCGTACTAAAGATCGTAGAAATTACTAAATTACTTTAATTAACAATTACCTTTCCCTCTTGTCAGTCTGGTCAGTAAATATTAAAGTAAAACAAAAACAAACATTTAATATTCAGGTTTTTACTGTATAACAATCTTAACAATAATTTTTAGAAGACATATTTCTGCACTCAATATCTTTAGTTAGTTATCATAATTTTCTTGGTTTTGTTTTTTAGGTATTTCCTTTTCGTCAGCGTTGTTTGAAAATATATATTGAACTATTAGGTATATTGCTGCCATGACAATCTGTAAAATAAAACATTTTTTAATTAAATCAATTTTTGCTACGCAGGCAAACAAATTTGGATTTTATATTATGCTACATTATGCTGCTATCATATTATTGTAATATAATGTTTCTGCTGCTTTAAAAAAAAATTAGCATATTTAGAAACCGGTTACCGACTTTTGCTATTGAATCTTACTGAAGATCGAAAATAATGCTTTCACAAATCTCGAACATTTAGGTATACGCAAAGTAAACGTTGTGTTACATTTTTTATAAAAATTATGCGAACGGATGAATTTGATACAGTTAAAGCGGAGAAGTCCTTACTTAGAGGTATTTAATAAAAAATAAAAAAATATTTAATTATGAATTCAATGATCGAATTTCGAGCAATGCAATGGGGGACCACTGGTAATATTGGTTTGTTTCAAACTTATTGCAAATACAATATTTGTTACCGATTGGTATGAAGTAATACGGTGTTTTCTGGTATTTACAAAATTTGCACAACTAGTACAGTTTTTAAATAGTACAAGACATGACTGTACACGTATTTTGTACATTTGCAGAAATGACTATCGGTTATTTACTTAATATTAATTAATATGTATTATACAGGGTAATTCTTAACGGACGGATCAACGGTTTTGTGGAGGTCGAGAAGCCCAATAGCTATCGTTTAAGCGTAAAGTATGTTACCGGATTTTCTTTAGTTTTAAAGTTATTTAATTTTTTGCTCAAAACTGTAAAAAATCAGATTTTTTATTAAAATTTGCCCGGACGTCTATAATACTTTGCTTATTATAGACGTACAACGTGGTCTTTTTTTCTTTAAAAAGCCTAATAATTGGGCTTTCGTATCGTTATCCCTTTTTTTGAAGTAGCTTATACGAGAACAAAATAAAAAAAAAATTCTTAAAACAAAATCTCTTTCTTTAACTTTGAGTACGAAAAAGACGATTTAATACGAAATCTAAATTATTAGGATTGTTAAAGAAAAAAAAGGACCACTGTAAATACATAACTTTGGACGTACGGGCAAATTTTAGTCGGAAATCAGATTTTCCGATTTTTATACAAAAAATTAAATTTAAGAATCTCTTTGTATAATACGACATAATCAAATACACTAACCTCAAAAGTAAATATGTACATATATTGACAAGTCTTTAATTCGTCGGCAGATAAATCCTTTGCTGAATGTGATGCAGAAGATTTAGCTACATAAATGTATGCTGAAAATACAAAAAAAACTTAAAGTTTACATGCGATGCACATGTTAATCTAAAAGCCTGAACTACTATGATATTTACCGATAAAACCTGAGATTTGTCTAAGCCACGCTAGGAGTTATTTTTTTTTAACGCAAAGGGAATGCTTATCTTTACAACTTCGTGGCGTGGGATGTCAGCAATCACAGCATATTTTAAACAATTATTTCTTTAATAAAAAGCCCTACACTAACGAAACGCTTTGGGCTATATACTTTTGAGCTATTAAACTTAGGAGTAAATAAATAGGAAAAAGGGAAAAGGACCATAAACTATAAGCTGCAAACATCAAGGAAGCAAGATTGCCATGGTACGGTAATTGGTATTCAATGTCAAAGTCTTTCGTTGTTATTTGTGCATTTCAAAGTTTGGATTCGCAATTGAGAATTTGACAAATATAAACAATAAAATAAGGTTTTTATAATTTCATGCCGATAAAGCCACACGGGGACAGCTAGTGGTATAAAAAACCGTACACACTTCTTCGTTATGTAGGATGCGATGTCAGCAATCCCAGCATGATTATGAATGATCCTTTTTTATTTTTGCTATATTTATTATCACGCTATTAAATTTAAAGGGTAAGTATATTAAAAACATGATGGACAAAAAAGGCACAGAAACTAAAAGCCAATAGCAGCAATGAAGAAAAGTTATTTAGATTCTCAGACAAATGGCAAGGGTCTTCGATGGCCTTTGAATTTAGAAAGCGTTACATTTTGACCAACAAGGAAGCGGCAGATCCACGGGTGAATGTCGCCAACTCGATAATTTCGGAATAAATTAGTATATGTTTTTTTTTTGTTTACAAAATGAGAAAATTTAGAAAGATGAGAAATTTTGCTTACTGGTAATTCTAAAAACTAGTGCTCCCCCCTGTCCCAATACAGACCATTTATCAAAAAACGGTGTCAAAAAAATCAAAAAAATTTTCGGTGACGTCCCTGAACGTTGTAATGAAAGCTATTACGGTTTGTATAAAGGAGTCAAAGATGTCTTTTTGAACGTTAGAACAAGTTGTTACTTGCTCTATGTTAATTGTTCTAGAAATATTGTAATCTGTATATTTCGATGAATTAAGACATGAAAAGGTACAATGATTTGCATAGGGCGGGAGTGGCGAATCTATATATCATCATCACCAGCTCACTATATATCCCCACTGAGGGGCTCAGAGCCCACCCTATGTTAGAACGTCTGGTTAATTAGGTACTAAAAAATTCGAAATTCGAAAACCGAAAATCCCATTGGTACATGACGAGATTCGAACCCAGGATCTGTTGATTATAAGTCTAGTGTTTAAACCCATAGGCTAATTACTTTTGTTTGTTTTTTTTTTAATTCCATTGATGCGGACGGAGTCGCCGGCGAAAGCTGGTGTTAAATAAAGTCATAGATTTAGTGATTATTGGGAACATGACTTATTGTTGGGATCGCCCAAGTTCGCTTCTTCTTTTATATTCTACAGAATTTTTTTGTATCAGGATCCCTTAGTAGATCCCAAGAGAAGTGTCGGTTAGGCCGAGTTTATTAATTTTATTGCAAAATCTAAACTAATATTGTAAACAAGAAAAAAAGGTGTTTTGTACCAATCCTCAGCTCTTTTGAATTTATTGTTACCGCTATTAATTAGTCGAATTTACTATAGTTTGTCTAACTAAGATAGATTAGTTTGAATTCAATTTGCATGAAGGCAAATGCCATACTTAATAGACAGGTATCGTAGTGACGAAAAAACTATCGATGACAGAAATAATAGCCAAATCCCATTGATAACGTACGGCTGTAGTAGTAATAAACATTTATTTACTCTCAGTATTTGTTATGGTCTTTACTAATTTGAGAAAACAGTGTTTTTTTTTATTCATAACTATGAATCTATCGATTTTAACTTCCACAAGAACAAAAATCGAAAATCGTGAAGAGTCATGTCTGATTTTACAAAACCATCCCTACTGAATTTGAAATGAATTGTCAAACTAATAAAGAAATAAATAAGATATTATTTAGACAAACTATAGAAGTTATTGTTCATGTTATTAAGAAAAATAAAAAATTACCACGCACTTGACATTGCACCTGGAAGTCAAAAAAGAAAAAAAGGATTAACATATAATAGAATTAAATAATAATAAGTAATAATAAATGCGAACAATCTTTGCCACGAATTGTATTTTAAGGCATTGTTGGAGGATTTACAATGGCTATTATCAAGTTTCACTATAACAGTGGTAGAGCCCGCTTGAACATGTTCGCACTAATGGGACAGCTCATTCGGTGAAATACCACGATCACGCAGAAGAAAGGCGTGAAGTGGAAGTAATTCCGCATTTTGTCTGATGAGTGTGCGTTCCGGATGTCCAATTTTAATACCTTTCAACCTTTATAAGGAAATGATGGAAAGGGAAAGTGGATTTGATAGCGGAGGAGACTCATAGATAGGGGATATATCATTTTTATGTGTGTCTCTTCCTCCGTCAACTAAGAGTAGGCTAAGCATCTGCAATTGCGGATGTCTATGGGCAGCGGTTGCTTTGCATTTTTCAAGTGTATGTGGCTTCTAGCTCGTTTGCCACCGAATAATATTAAAAAAAAATAAACCAATCAATCTCTAATTTAGAGGTACCTTAAAAACCATTATGAAGGAGCCTGATGTATAAAGGTCTTAACCAAGATCATATTTTAGATTTAGATTTCGAGAGACCATTAAACAAAGATACACCTCTCTTAAGAAAATAGCTGTGGTAAAAACGACCGTTTTCTAATAGATATAAGTTCGGGAAAGAGAAGAGGATTAGATTTATGTAATGTGATCATTAAATACCATCATTTCAGAGGTCGCGTCAGAAAAAAAGGTTTGTTTATCTCTGAACACATCCGCCAGATCCTTTCTTGTTTAGAGTATTTATATATTTCTTAACTAATATAAATGTTATAAATAAACTATTAAATTAACTTACCTTTCCCATAACAAGGTGGTAAAAAAAGGTCTTAAAATATTGATCAAGTGAATCAATGGGCGGCATTCTGCGCTCACGTAAATATGATTCGATAGTATCTGTGGAGCATACTAGTGACACAACCTGAAATTTTTTTAATAGAATTAATATTAAAAGTTGAGCATCGGTGGCTCAGGGGAGCGTCGGAGGCTCAGGAGTTTGAGCACATGACTTGTAACCCACAGGTCCTAGGTTTGAATCTCGCTATGTATCAATGTGATTTTAAATTTTTCGAATTTTATATGTGCATAATTTACCTAACGTTCTTGTGGTCAATTAAACATCACAATGAAACCTTTAGATATCGGCGAAGAAATTCAAACATATGTGTGAAGTTAACCAACTCGCACTCGGCCAGCGTGTTTACCTATAGCCTTTTTTTGAAAGAGGGGAATGCCTTACACATACTTCATGCCTCGGTGCAGGCACGAAAGTTATGTGGGACTCTCCCCGTAATAAGGCATACCCACTAAACTCCTTTGTTCCCTCTTGGTCATTGTGTGGGGCGCCACGGCATCGCTTTCGCTTGCCACTGCGACGCCCCACTGACCGCCCCGGGAATAGGAACTCGGTGCGGCCCAATAAATTGGGACGCTGCACCCTAAGGCGCCCTTCTGACGGCACCGTGCAATGCAGGTTCCGGAACCCCGCCTCGCCCGCTGGTGCCGCCGGTTACCTATGGCCTAGTCAACCTAACTTAGGGTAGATTACGAGCCCCTTCGGTGGGGACGTATAGTACTAACTATACGTTCAATAACGTACTAAATATACGTTCAATAACTGTGAACACACTTTTTATCACCATCATCTAGTGATCAATTACTTCTCGCTTCTCTCCACAAGTGGCAGAAGTAGTATACTCACGTTTACAATAATGGCTAAATAAACCATAAGTTTTAAAATTTCCGTCCATACATTAAAGGCTCTGTTTGTTAAAAGCAATGGTCTGCGATAGTGAAGTGTAAATAATGTTGCGTCACGTCTGAAACAGTAATTTTAATGTAATAACTTAAAATTTAATTTGTTAGTTGGCACATCGGACAGATAAAAACACTTTTTTATAGTATAAGGTGACAAAAGTTCAAGCGGCCACCATGGTGGTGGTCGTGGTATTGCACTAGACGATCCGGCTAATTCGTGCGAAAATGTTAAAACTCGGACTACCACTGTTATGGCAGAGCCCGCTACGCTTGCTCTCGATATGCCTAACTATAACTTAAGTGATATGTAAATAAATTAAAATATTACCGACCTGATGTGGTAGATGTTGAACAGCAATACAATAAATATAGCGGGTGGACATGAAAAGCCAAAGGCGATTATCAAGGTGAACTGCGTTACTGAAATACAGTCAAAATGTTTATATGTACGCCATCTAAATACCATAATATACATTTATATGTTACTGGAAATGTGTGGTAACTAGCCATTTTATACTTTTCATAGTTATAACACATGTACACATTTCCTAGGAATTGTATAAAATTACAATATCGTAGTAGGCAATGAATCTAACGTTTTCTGAGAAGCAGAAAACAACAATTGGCGCTCGACACTACAAAAGTATATTGTAATTATTATATTACTAAGGTATTATTGTTCCACGGTTAATTTACCAAGAGTTGCCATTTTGTTTGCTAAAATGTTTTCATTCAATCGAGGTAAAACTATTTCTCTCTCCCAGCATGGAACGTTTTGGACTATTTCTCGTTGATTATAATCAGTCACACTAAAAAGTAATGCAGCATGAGTTTTACTAATTTTTAGATGTAATTCTCATAACAAGAAAAATATTCACATTTATTAACATACCTTGAGTAAAGTGACAATTTTCTCAATATGCCAAATCTTAGAAGTAGAATAATTGTAAATGCAATGGAAAGATTGTTGCTGCACGATGTCATCGCGCACGTATCATCAAACAGATATTCATATTTGTATTTGTAACCTCGCCACAGTAGAAATTCAAAAACTGCCTATGAAATTCAAAAGTACCTATTGCATTGGGCGTACCTTGGACTAGTGCAAGTAGCGCAAGACATAAATACAACATTGATTAAAATTAAAGGGCGCTTTAAGCTAATACTCTACGAAATACTCGAGGTAGCGGTGATTATGAAATGGAGCACAACGTTTTGACATATTTGAACGCCTTATGGCATACGACTCTATTGCATTCGACTATGTGGTAAGCACCTGCACTTTTTTATACGATAACGTGGCAAACGGGCGAGCGAACATCTGAATTCGCCGAGAAAGCGAAGCGACCGATGACCATAGACAACTGCAATTGCTGATGCGTTGCCTACCGTTAATCGATGGAGGAGGAGAGGCGTATAAAGGGAATATTTCCTATTCCTATGAGTCTCCAACATCGTCAAATCTATTTTCCCTTCCCAGCTTTTCCTTATTAGAAAACGGTGGTGAGGGAAAGGAACTAAAATTAGACCTCCATTTATGTCGAAACGCGGAATTGCTACCACTTCATTCCTGTCTTATGTGTACTGGCCTATCTTCCATTTATAAATCGCATATGTGGCATTCGCCTGTGTGTCGCCTAAGGGGCCATTCACTTATTTATAATTCTACCAAAGAACTACATATATCTCGAAATTTTGAAGGGCTATGTTCCTGGTATGACGCGATTATTTTTTTATTATCTCCAACATATGCGTGCCAACAATAGAGGATAAAAGTTATTGTGCTAATGATCTAGATTCGGAAACTTCTTTACATAGTTTGTTACTCCGATATATTGGTTTCCGGTAAAGGCGTGTACAATGAATTATCACAGATTTCTTGGTTGAGAATACGACGATTTTAATACAATTTAAAGTTCTGGACCACCGCCAACCGCCTAAAATCTTAGAGATCGCTCACTAATTCGACACTTAGTGGGAGTACGTCGAATTACCGATAACCTGTATACATATTTACCATTTGAAATGCATAGTATCCAAGTACTATCATAGGCAGAGAGAAACACATTACATAAATGTGTTTTGCAAGGGACCGGCTGTACGACATGTAGGATTTATGATTTTCCAATCGAACAATATAACTCGCCACCTTTCTATGAATCTGTAAAATGAAAAAGATAATTTTAAACACGCCAAAGAGAAACAGATTTAATATAAGGTACTTACAAAAATTCACTTTTCTCATTAAATCTACTAATTAGAGATAACATATACAGGCATTTCATACGACACAGCGAATTTTTAACCGCAATTATTATTTTGTACATATTATGTTTTAAATGGACCCCACTTGGAAGCATTACCTTTCGGACAAAAAAGAATTATCAAATCGGTCCACCAGGGCCGGTGAAATGCGGTAATACACAAAAAAATATGCAGCTGAATTGATAACCCCCTTGTTTCGAGAAGTCTGTTAAAAAGGAGTAAACGTCGTGTCGTATCAAAAAAGAATTGCTTAAACAAGAGAAAGTTGTAAGTTGCTCAAATAGGAATTTTATTTGACGCAAGCATTGCATTCACTTCACACATGTGTTTTGTATGGTCGTATTGTTACACCAGGCGATCCAGCGAATTCGTGTCAATGTTAAAGCTAGCTCTACAACTACTAAAATTTCTGTAAAGTTCTGTAATGTCATCGTTAAATTAGAAAAAAAATGATGTATTCATATGTTATAAATTCAATATCATATGATTTAACCATTAGCAACAATCTAGTGACCTTCAAAAGAGATATCTACAATTGACAGTGGGGTCAAATAGCAAAAATACCTGTTTTTCCCATTCAGCCAATATTGGGCCAAATCCTCTTCCTTTACCTTTCTTAAATTAAAATTGAACGGGATCTAGAAATAGCGCTCCTGTCCCCTACTTAAACTGTTAGCCTGTCTAGTGTCATTTGTTGGCATTTGTCTGGCCGAAGGATCTAGTCATTTGGTAATAGATATCGTTGGTTGTTTCTATCACTATTAGATAATAATAATTATATAGAACTTACGAGATCAATGACATAGAGAGCTATGATGAGTTCAATCGTGACAACAATGGTCACCGACATAATTCGGTCTGGCATAATTTGTAACAACGTTTTTCGATGTGTAAAAACAGCAAAAACTAATACATCCAATAAAATCTGTTGAAAGGATAAAAACTTTCTTATTACCCAACTGATAATTTTTTTTTGGATTTTTTTTAAATCTTTATTAGTTGGGGAAAGGTTTCCTCGCATTAATATAGATACTTCATCATCATCATCACCTCACTGTACGTCCCCACTGAGGGGCTCGGAACCTACCCTAAGTTAGGGTGACAGGGCCTTAGTCAACCACGCTGACCCACTGCGGGCTGCAATGTAGGTTATTTACATAAAACTAACGTATGTGGATGCCATGTTGTTCGATAACTGTTTACCATTTTGTAGGTTGGGATTTGATCCCATTGCTACAGAAATTTGCAGGTCAGGTCAGGACAACAACAAAGAAAAATAGTGTGTAAAATAACAATAAATAACATACTTACGATACCAATGTAACATAATAAGATTTTTATTTTAGATTCGCGATGCTTGACAACGACAATGCCTGTTTTATTTGATTTGTTCGTTTTTTCTAGAACCTGGAAGTCAGGTCTGAAAAAAAAGGAAGTTAAATAAATTAGCTAAGGTAACCTAACATAAATGAGGATCATTTGATTTTGGACTCATTTCCTGGAAGCTAGAAGGTTATCTCTTTTCCTAGAAATGCTATAAGAGGAGTTCAATGTATCTAAGTGATTGTGGAATTTATTTTTTCCATTTTGGCTCTGACAGTTGCGGTTGGTAGCAGTGGTGAAAATTTGAACTAATGATGAACATAGAATTAACTGAAACTGAAAGAAACTGTCGGGAACTTCACGGACGCATTCAAGTCAGCAAGAAGAAAATGACATCATTTCTAAGCTATGACCTTTCCATTCATAGAGATCCAGTGTCGGTAGGGGATAGCAATAATATTATACGACAAAATTCAAAAATAGTAAAAATGTCGGATATGCTTGACTTTTGAATTTATAAATGACAATTTAAGAATACTTCATGATTTGGTTGATTAATAGTGCCACAGATAAGGCAATGTAAGGAATAAAACTTTTTAATATCATTTTTTATTTTACCGCAACAAAAGTTACTTAAAAACGCGTTTCACAATTGAGTTTTAATTACAGACTCATTCATAGGTGGAAAGTGGTACTAATATTAGGCTCCACATTAATAGGTCGTTCGATGCATAGAAACTACACAATTGTTAAACTTGTAGTTACCATTAATGTATGACTAGGTGACGATAAATTCCATACTTCTACAACCAGGTATTAGAAAAACAGAAAAGTCCCTTCTTTTTTTTAAAAAAAACAACTGCTCTTTTTCAGTGCAGTACAGGGGGTATTAGAACCCACATTTTTATTTTACCTACAGAATATATTCTAATGTTATAAATTTCGATACGAATGACTTTTTAAAAAAAATATGACAGTCGTGCGGTAATATGAGCAATACTGGTGAATTATTATAAAACGAATACACTAAGGCAACTACGTAAAAGATTTCGAACGTTCCGTGGCGACGACTAGAAATGTACTGAGCTACTGAGCTCCTGAAGCAACTGAGGTACTGACGGCTAGAGAGCTTGTTAGCGACTGAGCGACTGAGTGCAACTGACTAAGCGACAGCGACTAAGCGACTGAGCGACTGACTCCTTGCAAAGACTTTTATAAAACAACCCCACATTTCTACTTCCGTTTCTGTTATTTTTTAACACTAAATAATATAACCACGGGTCTCGCCAGTTTTAGGTTAAGCAACTCATCATTATTGATAATCTTAACGAAAAACCCTACATTTGTCTTGTTTGGCGCCAAATAACGGATTTTACTCTTTCACAGACTGCGAGGGATAGTAAGTCTAGTGGAACCACTGCGTCTGCTTTAGGACAAGGTAAATACAACAACATGCAAAATTGTACTCGTATGAAATGAAAAAAAAAACTAATAAAAGCCTTAGGCAGTAAAGACATTTTTCTACTTTAAGCTCCACGCGATCAAAGTCGCAGGGAACAGCTAATTTCATTGTAATTTCATATTTTTTTATATAATACTTATGTATACATATTGGTACCTTATTTGTTTACTATTGTAGTCCTTATTATGCGTTTCCCATATCCAGTTCAAATATTTTTCATTTCCAAACGAGTAAGCTGAGAAAATCATACCTGAAAACGACAATTTCTTTAAAATGTTATTTTGGTTTATCAAAATATATACTCAGAATAACGTATCAACGCTGGCCTCAATTTATCAATGTGAAATTGTTACCAAGCGATGGACATCTCTGTAGTGTTGTTCGAGTTTATCTTACTTATTATTAATACTAAAATTTAGATTAATGGATGGATGCAAGGATATTTGTTAGAGTTTGCCGTCTAAACGGTTGTACTGATTTATGATCTACGGAATAGATGTAGAGCATAGACTGGATAAACACATAGGCTACTAAGTTTTTTAAAATACCGGGCGGAAGAAGTCATAGGCAAAAGTTAGTATGGTTATTTTTAGAAATATAAATAAAATATGAATAGGCACACGAACCCCAGAGCAGGATGAATGTTGCGAAGTACGGTGTATACTTATTATCGAATATGACAGTCATTGTATACCATTTACAAAAGTCATGAACATAGTAAGCTTGACACAATAATGATTGCGCCGAAGTCGCAACGCATTTGAAGCAAATTGGGTTATATTTATTGTCACATACCGGTCTTCTGAAAAGTAAAGAAAAAGTAAAGTAAGTTCTTCAAGTGGGATCGTGGTCAAGCGCTAGCTTAACAAATATTAAAAATATTATAATATCAATAACACTACCATGTCAGTATCGAGTTCATCTTCGTCGACGCACATAGTGAATAGTGTACCCCCCGCACCCCCCGCGCCCCCCGCCCTGTCGAAACGCACGATGCGGGCTAGGGCACGCAGTGACTGGCGCGACGCGATAGCGACTATACCCGATTAATCAATCACCCTGAGGAAGGACCTCCAACGGGTTCGAAACTGTCGGTGCCTACACCGAATGTTCCCACGTGAGTTTAGCCGTGTTATAATTTGTGAAATATAAAAAAAATAGGAAACCCTTAATTTAAAATATGCACATCAAAAACCTAAAGATCCAAAAAATGGTTTGTAAAATATATTAAGTACAGTTTTAGAGCACGCTTTAACATCTTCACACAAATCAAAATGACATATTTTTCAGCGACGAATAAATATAAATCCAGAACTTACCTCAAATCCATGTAGTCATTACTATATATAGCTAAGAAGAATGTTAAAAGTGCCACCATGGATGCAATTGCTAGAAAAATATTGTAAAGTCCATAATAAGCGAAGTACAGGGCAACCTGAACAAAGATGCAACATGTTAACGTATGAAATCCTCCATTGTACACAAATTCTATGAAATGTATATGTCGGAGTGACTAGCGGTTTGTAAAATTAAATCCCGGAGGCAGATCATTTACACGATAACAATCTTCCATTGTGGGCGTGCGTATGTCGCAGATTATAAAATAACAATCGCGTAACATTAGAAACACCATCCTTATTTGACCACTATCTTAAATGAAAACTGCACAACACAATCTAATCGGATTGCAAACATTTACAGACATTAACCAATTTATTTTATAATAACAAAGCGCATCTTCCCACTATACAATGACAACTGTCATTAATCATTCGATCGTCGCTTTGACATCTATCATGCACGATGCACATTCAGCCAGTACTCAAAATTATTAGTTGCCAGTAACTTTAATCGTTCGAAAAGTGTCAATAATTTTCCCCCGTTATATGTATGTTATATGCATCCCCAAAAAAATCTATATATTTACAAGATATCAAACGGACATGCAAAACAAAGGGTTCTATGGTTATTTCCAAAATTATTTTCTTATATGGAGGTTATTTGTGGCACAACTTACCTTGAGTCCGAAGTATTCATGCACCAAGGTTAATGGCTGTCTAGTAAATATATTTGTCATACCGGCCCAATTATAAAACAGGATCTAAAACAATGAAAACTCTTCAATGAACCTGTAGTGCAAGGTATTTTTGTTCATTAAGCAAAAAAGACATAAAACGTGACCAAAAATTTAACGATAAGCCAGTAAAGATATGGTCAGGTCGATAGCTACATAGAGAAAATATTAAAAAAAACAACTCTTTTTACCAAAATTACACTAACTTTTTTAAATGTTTTTGTAATTTCATGCCCTACACCACATGAGTAGATACTGTGGACATTACCTGACGAGCATTAATTCTAGAAGCGTCTTGTGGAATGTAGTACGGTCCGTCATGCAACGCGTATGCATCTACCACAATATTGCGTTTCATTAGCCTATAAACATTTTTTTGATCAAATTTTGTCATAACTTTAACATTAATTTGTACAGGTACATTTAATAAAGCGGCTTTTACCTTTTCAGCCCTATATAGTTTTGTCTGTCTCCAAATGGAACGTTCAGCAATGCCATATAAACTACGAGGCTTCTCTCCAAGCTTGAGTATTGTAATGGTTGTGTGTACTCCTTTCTACGAGAAATTACGACATTGATACATATATATTTGCTGATTGTTGGAAGTAGGCTTAGGTCTATATATTGTATCAGGTTCATATAGAAGTTATAAAAACTATTTACTACGTTTACTACTACTATATGTACCTTATTAAATTTATCCACTCGCGTTCTTTGTGTGACATTATGTATTCGGATCGAGCACTCTGAACGCATTTTACCCCAAAAGCTTTTCCCAAATTATTGAGAACATCATTCGGGCAATGTATTTTAAAAAATACTAGCTTCCTGTGTATTGGCAACTAAAATAAGCAGAGACATAAGTAACAATCGCAGATATGTATGAGAAAAAAGGACAACGCCAATGAATGTGAGCTATGGAATATTAACAAGAAAATTGTTACTTACTACACCATTTTCAAATTCAATTTCAAAGCCAGTTTTAACAATGTTTGTGAGAAAATTATATTTCAATGTGTCACTCATAATATTTTCCTCGTCTTTCACCACTAGGATGAAATCGATTTTACGAACACCATCTCTGAATGTTCGTTCTGTATTATTTTTCGGAGGCTCAGCGCTGTCGCTAGATTCTGATGTCGCGCCGAGTATTGCTTCCTATGTGAATAAAGTCATGGCTATAGGTTAACGATTAAAGAATTGAAAAAATCACATCTGTTATAAATACACAAAGTACTAACAAACTTAACTTTCAATGTTATGTTTTTTTAACTTTCTACGGTGAAAATCTAAAAAGCTTTGTGAACTTTTTTAAGCCTATACTTTCTACAATTTGTATTAATTTTGTACTTATACAAACCCTTTGTCGATAATTAAGTTTACCCATCTATCTTACTTCTTACTAATATTATAAATGCGAACGTTTAGATGGATGGAGGGATGGATGTTTGTTAGAGTTTGTAGCCTAAACGGCTGAACGGTTCTCGATGAAATTTGGTATAGACTTAGAAGTTAGTCTGGAAGGGCACATAGGCTATTCACTTTTGTTTTTTTCAACTCCACGCGGACGGTGTCGCGGGCGAAATGTAGTAATCTCTAAAACTCTATATCTATACTATTGTTACAAAGAGGATAGATTTGTATTTTTATATGTATCAAAATAACTGAGAAACCACTGGGACATTTTTAAAAAATATTTCAGTATTCAAAACCTACGTTACCACTGCTATCCCTGCTACGTTAACGTATGCTGTTTTTTACTCTTTTTAATTTCACGCGTACGATGACGCGAGCAACAGCTAGTGTAAAATAATTTAAAATCAATAAATGTTTTTGTAGTGTAATGTAAAACAAATTAAATTATTTTCTTAATCCATACAGAAAATAATCGGCTTTTGAGTTAATTTTTTACCAGTTATTTGAAGTCATCGGGTGGGTACCGTATGCTGCACTTCCTTACAGTTCTACCCGTCAAATCTGAATTAACTACCTTGTTTTTACTTTTTCTTCTATTAATTAACATGTTTTAATCAATTTTCTTTTGGTTACATTTATAAGTACCAAACATAATCTATGCCATTTAAGATGTTTTTGGGGATTGTTATTCTTAAAATATAATCATTTCATATTAGTAACTATTAATCATCAGCTCACTATCAGTCCGCAACGAATGGCTTGAAGCCTACCCTGAGCTTTTAAAATATTTTTTTTTTAATGCGGCTCGTTTCCCTATTGCAAATTTTAACCAATTTCTTTTCAGTTTTTCACCATACAATTTGTTGGTAAATATAATTCACAAGAGTTCGCAATCGCTTCTGCAATACCACATATACATAATACATGTATTATGCTTCGAGTACTCTTACAGCGTGTGCACATCTTTGATTAAACTATCGTACAACTGTGTAGTCTCGCTTTGATTCTTAAGCGCTTATATAAAGTTGAGTACGCTACTCGATTTTTAGTTGTGCAACTAAACAGTTGAATTGGCTGCGAGACAATCGCACAACAGTTGTGCGATAGTTTAAGGTGTGCACCCGCCCTTAGGTATTATGTATTGAAAAATGAAATTGAGACATTATTCATCAAATTACATTAAAATAAAAAAATGCAAACCATCGTCGTCAATTCCTCTTTTCTAACACTCATTTGGTAATACTGCTTAAAAAAATTAATTCAATTTTGTAAAAATAATAAAAATGCATTAATTTAGCACAACTTAACAAATGACATCAATAATAGAATGTCAATACACATTTGACGTTTTTACGACTGAAAAAGGCCAACAAAGAGTATTTACTCTATAGTAGATACTACTACAAAAGAGATCATCAAAGAGATTCAAAAACTGTCCTCTGCAAATGGATAGGTTACTAACCTAGGCGCACAAAACTTTTTCTATAACACGAAATTCTGGGAAGAAAAATCATCTTACTACAACTTTTTTGTGTAATTCTCGCCTAGTAATCAGTGATTTGACAAGCTCGTATACATGTGATAAACACACAAAATCACAATGTGCTATACTCCACCTAATACCACGTATCAATCTATAACTTTTATACGGTCACATTTCCATTGCAAAACTGTTTTGAGTAGTAAACTAAGGTTTTTTCTTACATTTTTTTCAAATCGTATCAAAAAAACTAAAAATAATTTTAAATTAAAATACAATTGTATCCACACTTAGATCCATACAAGTGAAAGATGTAAATAATAGATTCTACGATGGAAAATATTGTGCACAACTACAGTTTAGTGATTGACAAATAAAATTTTCATAAATATTGCGAAATTTGTACTCTTTGTCATGGAATTCATGCGGACGAAGACGCACGGGCGAAGTTAATCTAATATGTTGGCATGCCGGGCAGAGGAGTACGCTTTAAGGTGACGTGAAAACGGGTTCGAATCCCGCGGCAAAAACTATGTATGCACCGCAGAGAATAATATTGTAAACAGGGGAATTGCGATACTCACCAGTTCTGTGCCCGCTTCACCTCCTACTGGTTTATGTCAGTGTCAATCGAGTCAAGTCTGGTTATGTCAAGTCTACAAGCGCCAGCGATGCTACCTGCATATGCACCCGTATTCAACGTAATTGTTCACCAACCAAATTTCGAGCGACCCCGTTCGCTAACCGAAATTACCACGCCTCTGTGTCTTCTCGTTGTCGGACAAGCAGCCACTTCAAATGAATTTAATTCGCACACGTAACCGACCGATCAGCTTGGGTGCTTGAACACCACTCTATACTTGCGCACACCTGTCCGCAGGCCCCGCGCCCGAGTGGAATTCCGATCTACCAACCTGTGCGGGAGAACCGTATTAACTAGGGCCGCGAATTTTAAATTACATGTTCGCCACCTAGTGTGGCGAACCCGTATCATCTGTACTGAACACGGCTACTTGCTATTCCCGTGCAGCTGCATCCGTATGATATTAAAAAAAAACTTTATTTTATTGTTTACGTTTGTAAAAGTGGTGAAAGATGAGGAAAATATTATAAGTGACACCATTAACATCAATAAGCGTATTAATTCAGTACGAAGGAAAACCTATCCATCTATATAGATCAGTAGGTAAGCTCTAGTGAACCTTTTTTTATATTGTATTAACTTTGTATAAAAATAAAAAAAGTATTTGACAAGTGACAAAATACAATTCTTTAACATTCAAAACTTTGTTGTCTCTACGGTGTTGAATTGTTATATTTATAATTTTGAACTTATACATACATTATTTAATTTTTCAATTCATCTGAAGTGCTTCGAAGACATTTTACATGCAATGCAGGTACATTTTCTATTAGATTGGAACCTTTAAGATTGGAACATTCCTAGACATGTGACAGGACTAAGGGCTTAAATAAAATGGCGGTGCAAATCTTCAATTACTAAAGAGTTAATATTTACAAAAACGCCTTAAGATAAATGACTTTATGCACTAATATTTAAAGGCTCGCTTTTAATTAAATTTTCGCTTGAAATTTGTTACCGAAAACTTCATGATTATACATTCATTCGTCTAAGGCCAAGGGCTCTTCTCTTGATATAGTTAATAATCATCAAATTAATAATGGTAATTATGAATTATGGCTGTATACGGCATTTACTTTCATACAAATTTTATTTGATACTTACATTAGATTTAAACTAATCAAACTTAATTACGTTGCGAGATGCCCGTTGCCTAACTTAAAAATTTTAACAGGTGACATTTTAAAAACACCTCGATTCTATTCCTTGATTATTTATATATAAATTCAATAAAAACATCAATTGTGTCGAGTTTACAAGCAACAGTTAATCTTACTAATATTATAAATGCGAAAGTTTAGATGTATGGATGGATGTTTGTAAGAGATTGTAGACTAAATGGCTGAAGGGATCTTGGTGACATTTGGCACAGATATAGAGGATAGTCTGGAAGAACAGATAGGCTACTTGCTTTTAACCACGCGGACGGAGTCGCGGGCGAAAGCTTGTAATTATAATATTTTTATAGAATTCTAAATTCATCGGATATTCTAAAAGTAAAAGATTTTTTATCATCGTTGCAGAAGCAATATGCGCCAGCTCTAACTGGATACTTCAGAGACGGCGTCAAACGCATTGATCTCGTATTGGTTGTAAATGATGACGGGGACGGTAAGGTCGAAATGTTGAGAGTTAATTTTTTGGCCAATGTTGTAAAGACCGGTCTCGAAATTGAATTGGAGCAAGGAGTGGTAAGCATTTGTTACTAACTTCAAATTATATCTTTTACGGTATAATTTCAAATTCTATACGGATACAATTAATCATCGTGTACTAAACGATGGGATAGGGGAAACTCTCGGTCTCCACTATATAACAAGTTTGTGCATCGGCAACCAGTTATTCAGATTCTCTAGATGGCCGCTGCTCCCCCGTAAGTTCGAAGCGATTTGAATCGTCGTTTCTTGTGCAGGAAAGGATTGGAATAATTCGCCGGTGTTATTGGTCCTGCCAAGCCCAAGCTGTGTGAAAACTACCTAGTTGTTCAAAAGTAATCGTTGTACTTTTTACGATGAGTGATATTTTAGTAGTTTTTTTTTTAATTCTAGAGAGCGAAAAATAAACATTTAATTTTCGTCAAAATACACGCGCCTGACCACGTTATTGTCGACTATGGAGACTTTTTCAATATTCGGAGGTTTTTTAAAGACAATCACGCTGACTTCATAAACCCTAATAGTTGGTATTTGGATTTGTTGCCTTTTACTATAGGCAGGAAGCGAGAGAGAGAGTTGGTCAAATTCGTAAGGTGGGTTATCATTTTTTTTCAAAACATGAACTTCTTACCTGTTGCCTGACTGACAAAGAAGGTAAGGTTTTCCCTGCGTTTTTACGTAAGTTTTTATGTACGTGAGTATATAAAGTATAAAATCGATATTAATTTCAGAAAACAAAATCAAGGACCTCTAAATTATTCGAACATCGAACGGAGTACTATTGTTTACAAGATTCTTCTTATGCTGCCATTTGGCCTTTACGAGAACTATGTGGGATTAGATAGGTACGTATTTAAATTTAATCTGATTGAAACCAAAAAAAATCTGTGGATATGTCAACCGCTTTTGTCTTCTAGCGGGCAGCCTATTTTAAAGGTCTTGCCATAAAAATCTCAGCTATAGTTTGTCTAAATAAGGATGATTAGTTTGACAATTCATTTCACAATTCAGTAGGGATATTTTGGGTAAAATCAGGTATTAATCTATCCGATTTTAAATCTTCGATTCAAATAGACAGATTCGTAGTTCGTGTTTTTCATATGGTTATTCAGAGTCAAATGATATAATCACGTTGCCGGCCAGAGTTAATACACGTGTTCAATGAAATGGTTTTTTATTATATTTTTAGAAGTAATACAATAAGAGTTCAAATTTCACATTGCAGATTACTTAGACATCGTATTATACTCGACGTATTTCCCTTACACGATGGGCCTTACTTTTACGTTCCTGATCAAGATCCAACTAAAATTAATGGACGCCAGGTGCGGGATGTTATTAGTAATAACTGCAGCGACAAATTTTGTAAAATTTTATTATTTATTATCATACTTCATACTAATATCATAAATGCGAAAGTTTAGATGGATGTATGTTTATTAGAGATGGTAGTCTAAACGGCTGAACGGATTTCGATGGAATTTGGTACAGATGTAGTGGATAGTCTGGAAGAACTCATACGGAACTTACTTTTGTAATACAATTTTAACAAAATGTAGGCAAGTGATTATAAGGTAAGCAGCGTATGTTACCATCCAGCCTTTTATAATTTTGACGTAGGACGCTGAATGAGGGACTCTCAGTAGGTCACGATACATTTGAATACAGTAGAAATGATGTCTAGATAAATGTAGTTATATCTTAAGAATGTAAAAGTAATTTTTGAATTTAAATGTTTCATTTGGATTTTATTTTTTAATCATATTATACATTTAAGGTAACCACCGTTAAGATTGAGTACACATCTGGGGAATGTGCCTAAGGATTCCTTTATTGCATAATTTCAGATCCTCTGTCGTACATGGTTGGACTTTAGCAAACTTTTAACATGCAGACAACCTTATAGCCTAGTTCATGATTATATGGGGGAAAGAGTGAGTATAATTTAGACGAACTTACCATAAGTGGATCATTTTAATAGCTCTCTTTAGACGTCTTTCGTTGACGTTGACGTTTGACTTTATAGGGACTTAGATACATATCTAATTTAGTATACATACTACATATCTAACATAGATTCATAATAATTGAATTCATGTGAATCGAATTCAATTATTATGAAAAATTGATGTTTGTTGTTGTATTTGTAAATAAATATGTACTCCAAATTAATAACGCAACATTACACAATTGTACAGTTCTTACTTCAATGAAATAAATAGTATTTTACGTCCGTTTACGTCTTGGTTGGGTTCCTAGATTTTACTAAAGTGGTAAAGATGACCTATTGGAATGATAATATAACCTAGACGGCACTATGAATGGTTCTATAACAAATAAGATCTTTTAAATACGTCTGTTTTGCCCAAATATGTGTATTGTCAGAATACATCTAATTCTTATTACTACTTCTTACTAATCCATTGTCTTTATTCAGGTCGCATTCTATTTTGCCTTCTTGAATTATTATATAAAGGCACTATTTATAGCGTCTATAATCAGTATAGTCTTCTTTGTAATGTCTTATAAATCAGAAGATACATATAACATAAGGTAAGCAATTTATCTTTAACAGTTAATTCCTCAACGAAATTGTTGTTATATTTTAGAAGATATAAACTTTAAGAGCCAGTCAAATTCTTGTAAATTGTCTGATAAAAATCAAACGTGTAAAATATGTGATGGAAATATCGGGTTTTGATATCTTATCTGACAGTGACAGCATTTTTAAGCTATTTGAGCCTCAATGAGTTAGTGGTGGGATAGACCCTAATAGTTCTAAAGGGGTTCCGGTGTTTACGAGTCGTACATCAAGGGTTACACAGGGTGATTCTTAACGGACAGATCACAAGCCTTGTGGAGGTAGAAGACCTAAATAATTTTTAAGCGCAAAGGATGTTGCCCTATTTTCGGTCGTTTAAAAGTTATTCCTCGTTGTGGAAAAATCGGAAAAAACAGTTTCTCAACTAATATTCGCCTGTGCGTCGAAAATAATGTGTTTACAGTGGTCATTTTTTTTAAACTAGCCTAATAAAAAATTGCCAGGTTGTTACCTAGGATTATTCCAAATCGTTCTTTTTGCGTGAAAAACAAACGAAAGGCAATTTTTTTAGATTCTATTCTACAAGCATAGGCGCAGTTTTTGAAAAAAGCGCAGTTGGTGTAAAAAACATGGTTACAGCTTTTCAAAGTTGGAGAAACAAATTTTATTTTAAGATTATTTTCAATATTTGCTTTTGTTCTCATGCGTGTTGTTGCCAAAAAAGATAACGGAACTAAAGCCCAAGTATTAGGCTTGTTTAAGAAAACAAATGACCACTGTAAACACATTTTTTTGGACGCATGGGCAAATTTTAGTCGAAATCTGATTTTTCCGTTAAATTAAATAACTCCGAAAGTTTAGAAAATCAGGCTACATATAGTATGTTGCCTGATGCGTTTAAACTATAGCTATTGTGGTCAGACGACCTCAAGGTAGACATCTCCATAAAGCTTTTGACCACCAGTACAATGTACCATTTCCATTTCCGTATACTCGTAATGCCTTTCACACACAGCTACGTATCTTAAGCGTATTGTGTTAACGCAATGCGTATGGAACCTGAAGTGTTCATCACTGCATCAAAGTCCTAACATGATAAACGTAGCGTTGTTCGTCAGCCAGGTAACACCTGTACAATACATATGTCTGTTGCACTTTCAGAAAATTGACGTGCGGTTCAACTGAGTCGGTATGTGGTGCTTGTGCTGTCCACACTTGGTGTCCTACGAGGAAACTTAGTGAATACTGTGATAAGACCAAAGTGATACATGTAACTTACAGTATACCGAACGCTTGCTTTTGTGTATTGATGGGGCTTTTAAGTAAGTTTTATTTGTGTAACGAGCTATCGCCCGCAATCTTCGTTAGCGAGTAATTAAAAAAAAACGTCGTATATTACGTCATGAACCTTCTACCAGCTGCCTTCCAGTCAAAGTCCCTTCAAAATAGGTCTAGCCATTTCAGAGATTACCCGGAACAAACGCGGCTTGCGGTCAGACAGACAGGCAAAATGTTTTTAAATAGGTTTTGGGTGTTATAAAAATCAAAACCGTTATTTTATTTCGAATGGAAGTTTCTTTGGAACCATATCCCATTTATTATACATGTTTTTTAAATAGTCTACCAGCCAAGTTTCATAACGATTTTTGTGTGTGTGTGTCGTGTGCCATTTATGTCACGCGTGCCAGTGGTTCGCCACCTCTGATCTACATGGATACACGCGAGGATTTTATTCTATTTTTATTTTTACAAACAAAAGTTGGCGGGTGACAGCTCGTAATTAATATTTTTCTTATATTAGCAAAGGTTTCTCAACTTCAATGAGTTACAATAATACAATAAAAAGTATGATGTTCCAAATGATCGACCGGTGCTGTGCGGACATGAGATCGTAGCCAACTCTCCAAATTACTTTAGTGATTATCAATGTTGATGATATGTCTTTGCTTGGTTTAATTTGGTCTAGCTCTGATCTTTTCAATATGAAAGCATAGACTTTGGCTCTCCCGTGCATCCCACTGCAGCCACTACACCACATTATACAATTTATACAACTTATATGTACTCTTGCAGGCACTCTATTTATTCCATTGTGGGAGCGTAGGACCTGTTACCTGAATTGGCTTTGGGAAATCAATCAATTTTATGCTAAAAGAGCTGTAAGGTAAATTATATTATTATATGTAACTATGTCGATAATTATAAATCATGAATTATATGCATATCTATATGCTTCATAACTTGACGCTAAATAAAATGCATCTGTAATGATCTGTGATTGGACGTAGACGTCACAGCTAGCACAGCTAAAAATCGAAAAATGTAAAAGATACTCGTATATAAAAAGTACTTCGAATAATACTAGGTATTTTATGCCATCCAGAACAGTAACCTAGCGAGAAACTAGTTCGGTGCCCATAACGTTTTACCTATACAGTATACTAGCTGTTGCCCGCGACTTTGTCCGCGTGAAATTTGAAAGTTCAAAACTTACGTTTGCCCCTTTACTAAGTTAATACTTTTGGTAATAGGTTGTAACTAATACCAAAAGTATTAACTTAGTAGTATCTACGTAATAACAGAAATCTACTGATGCAAGATTCAAAATTCCTAAGCCCGGTAGCTTGTAATTTGATTTTTCGGTTACCCTGATTGTTTGTGTTCGCGATATCTTCTAAATTTAAATACTGTTAAGGAGAATTTTATTCTACATTAAATTCTCCTGATAACAAAGGCATTTATTTGGATAAGGATTAATATTAAAACCAATAAATAAACACCGCAAATAGCGTGCGGTTTTTAATTCATTTCTGTCGAACTTTTTGAGATCTACAATTCTTTCTTACATTATTTTTATATACCTCTAACGGTTTAGGCAGCGTAAGCCGAGAAAAGTTAAGGTTTATTGAATTTTTAACCCCGGCATCTAGAAACACGCTGTTCATTAATAGTTCTTAAACATTCTATCTGACACACAAAACATTTGATGGGAACAGTTAAATAATTTTTATGCATTACAGGCCCGAATATATAATTCCTGATAATTTACCTTGGAGGAAAAATTATGTGAGACAGGTTATCCTAACAATTTATAATCTGTTTATCTACGTGATTTATGTAAGTGATGTATTGTTTTTTTTTCACCCGCGTGACGTGATGTAACATTAACATTTTAATGATTAGTTTTTTTTATATAAAAAGGATGTAAACGAGGTAGCAGCCACGAGTACCTGAAGGCAAATTTGCTTTCCCTTAATCGACCTGAATTAAGGGACGACCAGAAAGTGAATATATCGCCTTTATATATCGCCAAAGCGCCTCCTCCGTAAAATCTACTTTCCCTTCCTATCGTTTTATTCACGCCTGGCTTTTATGTGGTCATTGTATTGCGTGGGTCGAACCGGCCCAATAGTGCGAAAATGTTAAAGAGGGCTCGATCACTGTCAAACACTTTTCTACTATTGTTTATGTGTAATTTGCTGTTCTAAACTTTTTTATAGAAATTAATTTTTAAGAAAAAGAAAAAAGAAAAAGAAAAAAAAATTTATAGAAATATTTGTCCAAGATGAAACATCATCTGTTCTAAAGTGAACTTCTTTCATGTGACTTGAGTTTACCACTTTGACTTTTCCTTTCAGGTTGCTATAATCGTGTCGATAATGCTTTTGGTAATGTATTACAAACATGCCATTCTGTATATGACATATGGTACAGACCCATACATAAACTTCTATTATGTACTGGCTGGTTTAGCGGCTTTTAATTTTTTCTTTGCTGTACTCATGCAGTATGTAAGTATACATCTTACATAGCTTGACCAGAAATGTTAATAATTAATTTGCATACATTACAAAATGATGAAATAAAGGCGACTAAAGTATCCCGAAGCTGGGACTCTTAGGTTATAAATGCTTATAATTTCTGCTATTTTACTTAATTGCAGTTGAAATACTTAATGTCCAATTATTTAAAGGATAATCATTATGTTATTACAAGTATTTCATAAATATTTTTCAGGTGAACAAAATTTTATGCTTCGTGCTTACTAATGTGGAAAATCACAGAACTTACGCCGCACACGAAAGCTCATATATATGGAAACTTTTTATATTTAACGCTCTTTGCCATACGTTCATGATTCTTTTCTCGGCATATTTTGTTGTAAGTATACGTATATACCACGTGGTATATTAACAGTAGAAGACGTCAGAAACAACATCTGTCGCACAAAACGGCCGGCACGTCCAATGAAATACCGTAACGACCGAAGACGTTAAGTGAAAGCAATTCTATGTTTAGGGTGATAGGTATATACGTTCCGGGTGCTGAATTAAAATCCCCTTTATAAGGAAGTGGATTTGACGAAGGTGAGGAAGTATAGGAGGGATAAATACTCTTTTGTGGATCCCTTCCTGCGACGGCTAATGGTAGGCAACACATCTGATTTTGCGTTGTTTTCATTGAACGGACAACGAAACTACTGAACCGATTCAAAAAAATATTTTACTGTTGGAAGGCTGTATTGTATCCCCGGATGACATAGACTTTTTTATGAAGTTATGCTTAGTTTTATTTAGGTTTTTCTTAAATTATGAAATGACTGAGTCGTGCGCATAAGTTATTATTTAATTAACATAGGTTTTATTTAAGAAAAAAACTTAATAAATCTTCGTAATCTTTGGTTAACAGGTTTTTGGTCACTGGGGACGGGAAGCCGGGTATACACCGACTTTAATAAGCGACATTAAATACATGAACTGCGGCCCGTATGGATGTGGGGATGAACTGACTGTAATAGTCGTTGTTATTGTCTTCATGAATGAAGTTTTGACTAAATTTCCTTGGAAGATGTTACCGTAAGTTGATTATAAATTTTGTGATTTATAGTGTAACAAACTTATCGGGCCCAGTGATATATTGTAGCGATGATTATGTTAGAAAACATGTAAAGACCCGCTTAGGAATGTCATTTTCTATTGACGTGTTGAGACCGACCAACTTATATGACCGGGCGCACATAAGTGATGCTAAGTCACAATATCTTATCAGCGCCACCTAAAAGAATCTTTTCACTATCTACCAAAAAGCGCTATTCTAATTTTTCTTTGTCAAAATAGATTTTTTATAAAAAGGTAATTCTAAAAGTACCTTATTAATATAGATGACATAAAATGTGTTTGTCATATTTAATTTTTTAATAAAAGAAAACTCTTCTTTTATAGCATACAAACTGACTATCAAGTAGTCAAAGCCGGGAACTCAAGAGTTCCTGTTTGGGAAAGGGAATACGAGTTGTGTAAAATAAATGAAGACAGTTTAGACAAAATGTACTTAGATTTAAGTAAGCATTAACGTTTAATGTAATTATTATATTGAAACAATGATTACTTGAATTATAATTACTTGGCAGTAGATGTAGCGAGTTAGTAAATGCATATTACTGTTATTTAGTGATACAGATGGTGTTGGGGTTCTTTTTCTTACAAGCCTTTCCATTGAGTCCTGTGCTACTACTTTTCTCTAATTTATGGAACCTTTGGTATGATTTTATTTTACTACATATATTTTTAAATATTTTACTATACATTGGGTCTGATTTCTTAAATTATTTAACCCTATTACCGTTGATAATTTGATCTGAAAATTGGCACACACTTTAGTTCTGAATGCTGTTGTAAGTTCTACGTTACAACAGCATTAAATTAAGGTATTTTATTATGATTTAACTGTAATTGTGGTATTATGTGACAGTTACTACCCCCACCATATGGTGAAGGGATGTCGGCGACCATTGGTGCGCAACAGCACCGGCATAACCGCGTGGCAGCAAGTCATCATTGCTATCGGATACGCAGTGCCGCTCTTTAACGTAATATTTATTTAAAACAGTTCTATTGACTTCTATTTGTTGTGTTCTAATCTATTATTGTGTTTTTTTATTTATTTATTTAAGTTACTACCTGGAAAGCTTCCGAGCTAAGAAATTATTTAATGGTTTTAATATTTATAAACATTAACAACCAGTGTTTAATCGCTTGCATACATCAGAAGAAAAAAAAAATAGATTGGCGTCAACGCTTTATCTCTCTATACAAATAATAAAATTGGAGTGTCTGTTAGTAACATCAAAAGAAAAATTCCTGATTTCGGATGTATTTGCGTTGCTAATAACGAAAAGGCATTTAAAAGTTTTCTGTCTGTCCGCAAGCCGCGTTTGTTCTGGGTGATCTCCAAACCGTCTAGGCCGTTTTCGACCGGACTTTCACTGAAACTGACATAGATGGGCATATTATATTATAGGATAATTTTTTATCTTAATATTGCGAGGATAAAGTCGCGGGCAACAGCTAGTTTTTAATAATTGTTTTGAAGTTTTATTTCTGATTTATTTTGAAAAAAGTTAAAAACTGTGAAAACTCAGAATCGTTCACTTGCGGACACTGCGTATGGGGGTTAAAATAAACGAAAATGATCATCTCTATCACATAACGAGAATACCTTGTGTGTATATGGTAATCTTAACAGTTAATATTGTTGGTAAATTTAACAGTGGTAGAGCCCGCTTTAACATCTTAGCACGAATGGGTCGGCTCGCCCGGTGCAATAACACGACCACACAGAAGACAGGCGTGAAGTGGAAGCAATTCCGCGTTTCGTCTGATGAGTGTGATGCCGGAGGCCCAATTTTAGTCCCTTTATCGTTTTACCCTTTTCATATAAGAATGGATTGGATGGGAAAGTGGATTTGACGGTGGACGAGACGCATAGGAAGGGGAAATGTCCTCTTTATGTGCGTCTCCTCCTCCGTCGATTTAGGGTAGGCAACGCATTTACAATTGCGGATGTCTATGGACAGCAGTCGCTTCGCCATCTTGGCGAATTTAGGTGGCCGCTTGCTCGTTTGCCAGCTTATTGTATCAAAAAGTGAAGAAGATTTCTTGTAGTAGAATTTAAGTAGAGTAAGAGATCTTAAGATAAAATTTAATTTACATTCTCCTATTTTTTTCTGATAGATTTTGTGCGTCGCATTAAGTACTGATTTAGTTGAAAGAAAAATTTATGATATTGTCCAAACAACAACCTTCTCATTGCAATATAAATATTTTAAAAACACTTATAACAATTACTTTCTCTTTGTAACGTCAAAGGTGAGTACAAACTATTTTCTATGGTATGCTGCTTCTAAACTATTGCCGATAACCTGAAGTAATTCGTTATATGGCTAAAATCTAACTTTAATCTTACCTATCTCATGTTTTGTATCTCTATATTCATTGCCTAGGAATTGTGTACAACGACGGATTTCATAAATTTCCGTTAGCATATACAATATAGATAGATAAACAAATAAATAGATTAACATTTCTTTAAGCCAAAATGTAATTGGTCCCAAAGCTTTTTTATAGTTAGGCTCATAGAGTTATTTTTTTTTTAATGAAATATCTTGTACGTTTTCAGAACGGTGCCTGTAAGTACCCACGTAAGTTGGATTGTATAATTTTTATATTTTTAGATATTTTATTCAAAAGACCCTAAAAACAATACTGAATTTTTATAATTCTTTGTCTCGCAGTTTAAAATAAGTGTGGTTGGGTATTAATAAAAACCCAGTGTTCAATGGTTTTTTTATATTCCTAACTGTTTCCGTCCGTCTTCATCCGCATGACATTAGAAAAACTGTATTTAATGGTCATTTCGTCGGTTCGGTCAATTCGTTAAGACTAATCAATGATTTTTTATTTCAGTCATGTTCGATAAAGATATTGGTGTAAATCGCTATTGGCAGCCCAAGCGGTACAAATGGTGGGGGATATTACTTACCATGGTAACATTATATTATTACATTAATTGTATTTGTATTCTTTGGGATACCTTAGTTTTTAAAAGATCTTTTTCCTGTGACACTGTCCGCGTGGAATAAAAAAAAAATAAGTAGCCTATGTGTTCTTTTAGTCTATCCTCTACATCTATGCCAAATTTCATTGAGATTCCGTTCAGTAGTTTAGGTTACAAACTATAACAAGCATCCATCCGTCCATCCATCCAAACTTTCGATCTATAATATTAGTAGGATTACTAAGATAATTCTTTTCTTTTCAGCATGTCACCATTGTCTTTGCTTTGCTTGCACGATGGTTAATAACTCGTTGTCCGAAAGACATTAAAGAAACTGTTAGAACCGAAAAGTACATCACATATAGATATTATCTAGCGAAAGGTGTGACGAAATAGAAGATATTCAAGCTGTTGTATTTAATGATTATTGTTACTAATAGTGTCTTCATTTATAAAGAGACCTGTTAACTTTTATTTTTAATATATTAATGTTTTAATTTATTTCTTAACTATTTTGTCCATCACAAGTGATGCAGTTCCTTTGGATAGTAACGCATATCCCCAATAGCCCCTCTATACACGTTGCACCATACGTGATTCAGCATTCAGGCGAACACTGTGGCTTCTCGTTAGGCCGAACTCTCGACCGATCATCCCAATATGACATTTTCCCACTCACTGACATAAAAAAGGACTGGCGATAAAACGTGACATTTTGTTCCTATTTGGTATTCGAGCCACAATTTTTTATAGTTTGTCTAAATAAGATAGATTATAGTATGTCTTATAGTTTGTCTAAATAACTTAGATTAGTTTGATAAATAATGTATATGAAGTATCGAATTCAATTTGTATGAAAGTAAATGCCATACTTAATAGACATGTATCGTAGTGTGACGAAACAAATACGCATAGCTAACAATTTTGAACTATCGATATTCGATTTAAATAATTATCAAACTCAACTAATATTATTATTTTCTTAATAACTAATTTATGGGACAATTCTTGTATTTATTATAGTGTAGAGAATTTAGCGATGACAGAAATAATAGCGAAATCCAATTCGATTACGTACGGCTGTAGTAGTAATAAACATTTATTTACTATCCTTATTTGTTATGGTCATGTTTAATTTGAGAAAACAGTGTTTTTTTTTTATTCATAAGTTATAACTTTGAATCTTATCGATTCTAACTTCTATAAGACTAAAAATCGAAAATCGAAAAGATTCATGCCTGCTTTTACAAAACCCATGCCTACTAAATCGTCATCTAAAATTAATAATGACCTGCAAAACCAAAATAATGAGACCTACAAATAATGAGAGTAAATAATTTATTCTTCTGGATTATGTATAGGATAATAGTAGATATTTTCTTTTTCCATTATTTGTACTTTTGAAGATAAGAGCTTGTGACAGTTGACACCACCGAACCGACACTAACCGTAATGCTAACTATAACCGCCCAAAATCGGGCGGTTATGATTAGTGTCAAATATGACGTTATTTTGACCAGCGCAAAACTGGTGTAGCGAATATCATGAACATCCGAAGACGTAACCATCGGGAATGTGCTGGTTAAGGTTTATAGTTAGTTAATGTAACTCACCCTTAGTAAATTTTAAGGTTATTCCAAATATTACCGTTACAAATAATTTTAACTTTAACGGTAACCGGCGATATGGTGCAACTCACTCTTAGAGTTGCCAGATATTAATCCTTTCGTTATTTGTAGAAAAATAGGCAATTGATGTAATGCAGTTAAAATATTTACTTTTAGAATGTTTCTAAATATTAATGATAATTAATTACCGACGTGTTAAAGCAATATCATTTGTTTCTACAGGTAAAACTTTACTTACGCAAAAAATTGCGATTGGCGTACAGGTTTTCTTTTATTTGTTTGAAATTCGAACACCTAAACTGACAACACCGCATAATATCGCCGAATCGGACTTCAATGGCGGCGTTTTTGAAATACGTAATATTTTTAAAATTTCCTTGTTAAAATGGTGATAACTTTTGTCGTGGAGGCTTGCGGAAGCGAATATTATCCTGATTGTGGTTTATTTTTTCATAGGTAATGGTTTTAAACATTATTTGTTAGGGAAGAATTACGATTACCATGTATGTCTATCTAATCCTAGAAATCCTGAGAAGGATTGAGAGAATCGTCAATCAAATTATAATCAATTATCGATTTAAATTTTTTTTACAGAAAAAGTAAAAACTCTCAAACGATATTTCTTACCCCAATAAAACTGAAAGCGAATGAAAGGGCTACAAGTGTACGATATTTCCCTTTCTAACAGTGACTTAGAGTTGCCAGATATCAATCCTTTTGTTGTTTGTAGAAAAATAGGCAATTGATGTAATGAAATTTAGTAAAAATATTTACTTTTAAAATGTTTCTAAATATTAATAATAATTTATTACCGACATGTTAGAGCAATATTATTTGTTGCTACATGTAAAACTTAATTATTAAAAAAAGAGTTGTACAAAAGTGGGCCTTTTTTCGAAAGTCAATTATAAGGAAAACTTTTATGTACAAAAGAAGAAGAACAAAAAGAGAAATATGGGTTTTCAAAAACGCCGCCATTGAAGTCCGATTCGGCGATGTTATGTGGTGTTGTCAGTTTAGGTGTTCGAATTTCAAACAAATAAAAGAAAACCTGTACGCTAATCGCAATTTTTTTGCATTAATAAGGTTTTACACGTAGCAACAGATAATATTGATTTAATATCATCATCATCAACAGCTTACTATACGTCCCCACCGTGGGGCTCGGAGCCTACCCTAAAGTTAGGGTGACTAAGCCATAGTCAACCACACTGGCCAAGTGCGGGTTGACTTCACACATATCTTTGTATTTCTTCGTCGATATGTGCAGGCATCACGATGTTTTTCCTTCACCGTAAGAACGTCGGGTAAATTATGTACATATGAAAATTTGAAAAATCGAAAATCACACTGGTACATGGCGTCGGGATACGAACCCAAGACCTGTAGACTACAAGTCAAGTGCTTAAACCACTGAGCCACCGACGCTTTAATATGTCGGTAATAAATTATGATTATTTATATTTACAAAGATTTTAGAAATAATAAATGTTTTACTTCATTACATTACATCAATCGCCTATTTTTCTACAAACAACGAAAGGATTGATATCTGGCAACTCTAGGTCACTATTAGAAAGGGACACTAGTAGCCCTCTCAATCGGCTTCGATTTTATTTTGCGTGCAACAAGAATCTTACGCACGTAGCATAAGGTTTGATTTTCTTTATTTTTACTACAAGATGAATAGATAGAACACATTCCTGTTGTACGTAATATTTGTCACTTCCATGGCCAAGACACAAAGTATCTGGCCATTTTTACCTCTTAATTTTTTTTTAAATATTCATGTCATATATTGCGTTATTTAATTTATCTTTGCAACTTTTATACATTGATACTATTTACACTAGAATTTTTAATTCATTTAATTACTTCCAAATAAGTGTTAAACCTGGAAAGAGGAATTACTAACGATGGTTTGTCCAATACGTATTTCTTCTGTTACTTAATGAATAATTAATTTAATCGAAGTTGTAGAACTTACTCCAATTCAAATTCCACATTAATTTAGGGTTTTCACCGTAACTATTTAATAAACATAACGGCCGTTTAAAGTACCATAAAAACTACGTTTTTTTTATATTTTTGTTAACCTGCAGCCATGACTTTATTCACATAGGTAGCAGAACTCGGCTCGACATCAGAATCTAGCGGGAGTATTGAGCCGCCGAAAAACAATACAGAACGGACATTCAGAGATGGTGTGCGTAAAATTGATTTCGTCGTAGTGGTGGTAGATGAGGAAAACATTATAAGTGACACTTTGAAACACAGGTTTCTTACCAACATTGTTAAAATGGGATTTGAAATTGAATTTGAAAACGGTGTCGTAAGTAACTTTTCCTTATTATTATTTCGTAGCTCACAGTACTTGCCGATATCCTTGTACATTTTTACCATGCTGCCCAAATGTATCGAAACATCATCATATTCAAATATGTATGCATGAAATGTAATAGACGACCATTTCTTGTAAATTCCGCGCTATCGAGGTTTGCGGCCGACAGCTCGCGAGCAAATAGTGATTTATGTTTTTCTTTTTTGAATGAAAATAATGTCCCATAAGTGACAAATAAGATATTATGCGATGTTTATTGGCCACGGATGTTCACCTTTTTCGACCATTACAAAGAATCCTATAATGAGAATAATTTAAACTCTTTGGTTAAGATAAAAACTCATTAGTTGAAAAAAACCTGAGCGGTTGTGATCTTCCTGGACAATTCAATACGTATCTGTAATAAATACTTATGTTTTTGGTTATTTTATTTATTTATTATCATAGATATCATATCACGGCAACAGCACGCACATGTTAAATTACAACAACAACAAAAAAATAATACGTTATTTTTAGTTGCCGATTCATAAGAAGTTAGTATTTTTTAAAGTGCATTGCCCGAATGATGTTCTCAATAATTTGGGAAAAGCTTTTGGGGTCAAATGTGTTCAGAATGCTCGAGGCGAACACATAATGTCAAGAAAAGAACGCGATTGGGTAAATGTAATAAGGTAATTAATATTTTATCTTATATTACGTATTTACTTCTAAACATGGTTTTTATTATCATCGTTATAGATTTTTCTATTCTAACGATATCTATTGGTGAACTATAAAATCAACAAGATATGTTTGAATTTATGTATTTTTATAAATATGATTTACAAATTATGATAAGATATTAACTAAGTGAGCTCTACCATTTTTTACCTAATTTACTACTTTACAATAATCTTTCTGGATGCGCGGCAGTGCACCCGAGGCGAGCACGGCCAAACACTCTGTTCTCGAAGCGCTTAATAAAGATAGAAGGTTGAAATTTTGAGCATAAATAAATATTATGCACCCTGTTATATTTTATATTTATAGTTTGTAACTAGTTAACCAAATACCATTAATTGAATTATTCACATTTAACAGAAACACACGTGTAATCATAATTCTTGTTCTCAAGTTTGTTTGGAACGATTCCTACCGCCGAGTTTCGTCAACGGACGACACGACAGACCGCCAGGTACCATCCTCACCATCTCGATGGCTGGCATTCCACAACCGTGCGGTTTTCGCGGAACTTTCTGCC